TATCACACTCCATTGCTACTTCCCAACTTGTATTGGTTGTCTGGTGACTAGTAGGAATTGAAGACTGAATAGTTGAGGCTTTCTTGCAGAATTACAGTTAAAACACAACAGTAATTTATTGCTTGATTAAAAAAAGCAAGACTTAAAAAGTTGCAACACAGATATTCTGGTTCACAGGACAATGCTGTTACCGAGGTTGTGTGACCTTTGTACATTTCATCTTGCTCTCAACTCATGCTGTTGGATATCTGGCCTACTTACAAGTCTAGTGAATGCCTGTTAAAATTGGATTTTTATTGCTGTATTCTCCCCAGGTGGACCCAGACTACTAGAAAATCAGTATGTGTTTCCTGTAGACTGAAAATTTACTTAGTTTTGTCTTGATGCTTATAAGCACGAGCGCATGGAAAAAACCCTGCTGAATCGGACTAACGTTCCTCCAAATCACAATTCTGATTTCTAGTGCCCAATCAGATGGTTTTAAGAAATGGAGAGGCATTTTGTGAAAACAGCAGTCCCACTTTCTCTGAGTAGTATTCAGAGGCATATAGCCTCACAATAAGGAATACTTAATTCAGCCATCATAATAATGTTGATGGCAACTATATGTTTGGAAGGATCTATCTATCTATCTATTTATTTTTATTTTTATTTGTCAATTGCTTACAAGATAATAGGTATAAGTAAAAACATAGTTATGAATACATGGATACATATAAGAAAAATAATAATAGAAAAATATAAAAGAAACAATAGGACAGGGACAGCAGGCACGTTGGTGCGCTTATGCTACTCAACTTCTAGCCAAAAGAATGTCTTAGAAAATGTGCAGTAAAACTTACTTTATATAAGAGAGAAAAAAAACCTGCTACAAACTTACAATAGACCCCCCCCCCCCAAAAAAAAGATAGTTATACCCCAGTTCTGGTGTTCCAACTATATTTAAGATGGCTCACTTTTAACTGGCTCACTTTTAAGATACGGTTGCAGCATTCTATGGTCACATGATGCAATTTATGATTTATTTATTTTTACTGGAAACAGGCCCTTTTAGCTGGTTTCTGCAAAAAAAAAAAAAAAACCAATCATAGGAATGCTTTAACTTGTTTAATAACCATGGAATTCACTTAATAACCACTGCCAAAGAGGTTGTAAAAACTAAAAGTCAGATGGGTGACTTTGGGCCAGTCACATTCTCTCTCTTCCCATCTTTTCTCACAGAGCTGTTGTGAGAAAATCAGGAGGAAGGAGAAATATTAGGTATGTTTGCTGCCTTGAGTTATGTCTAAAAATAGTAACGGCTGGGTGTAAATAATACAGTTGGTCATGAGGGTGCTCAACTTAGTGTTTCTCGTGACACATGATGAAAATTTTGGGCTCCTTTAAGGTGAGAAGTCAAGGATGAAATAATAAAGCATATGGAAAAGTTGGAAATCTGTGTGGTTTTAACCACTTTTTGCATCTACCAATTGGTATATTACACTGTGTTGCCTGGCTTAATGATTGCTCTCAGAGATGATTACATGCTCAGATAAACTTTAAGGTGTAAGCAAATTATTAGGAGTCATAAAGTTCAAAGAGCCAAAGAGAAAAAGGCAACGATAAGTGAAATGGGTCATCAGTTTCCTTGCCTTGTTCTATCTAGATTATATTGTCTCTCTGCTGGGCTAAGAAAAACAAACTTTCATACTGAATGTTTCTGTGTTCAGAAGCATTTTGAATTTGAACTATTTTAAATTCGCAGAGCTTCATTTTGAGTTTAAAGCAGCTGTTTTTGCATCTGGAGGGTGTGCTTTGGTCAGCTTGGAAATTTCTTGAATTATTTCAGCATTCCACTCATTTTTGTTCATCCCATAAATTGCCTTGTCCAGATAGTGCCTTGACATAGAATCAAATGCAGGTTGAATTTGAGATGTTCCTTTTAATTTTGAATAACTGTAAGCCCTTACATTGCAAGCTAATAAACTTCAGTTTGGTTTAATTGAAATTATAAATTTAGTTCACAATCACTTTTCTTATAAACTGATCTAAACTAAAGAAGACGGAAAACTGAAAAGCCAAATCTAAATTAGTCTTGGGAAACTAATTGCATATTAAAGCATTTTTATTTAAGCAAGTCTTTGTGGAAGCAGACATGAATGCTAAAATTCTGAGACATACTGGACATTGCTTTTTATTCATTGTGTTTTAATATGTTTATGTATCTAATTGTGTTTAATAATAGAGCTCCATTGTTTGGTTAGTCTTTGAACATATTTGGGAAAAAGGCAGGATATAAATTCCATAAATGAACAAAGCCAGCCTTTTCAATGAGTTGTGTGGTTGACCAAGATCGAAAGCTAGCATTTAGTCATGAGAATCAGAGGCAGGAAGCAATTTGGTCTCGTTCAGGAAGTGGTGACAATGTATATTTCCAATACTTCATTTGTGGAAACAAAAATCATCCACATAAAGAAATTTCATCCAAATAAGATATTAAGAATAAGGTTTTCCTGTAAATAGTTGCATATACACATTTCCTCCTTTTCTTATTGACCCCCCCTCCCTTTCTGACATTAAAACCATTAAACTAAACTTGGCAATGCAACTGTCTTAAATGGTTGTAATGCTTCTTTAACATTTTAACCATCTCAATCACTTAAGTAAATCACTGGCTGCAAGTCTCTAACCTTGTTATAGAGTAACTTGATTCTTTTTAGTGGTCTCTGTGTAAACCAGCTTAATTATTCCTAATTGTCAAGACTGCTTTTTCTCTATTCATCTACTTTGTGGAGGCAGGTTCTAGTAAAGCCCTGATACTCATGGATAATACTGAGCAATTTCATAAACTAGAAGTTACTAACACTTAGAACATTAGTATTAGGGGCTGAAGCAAAGAAGCACTTTGGAGTAGGGTGTAGATGTGTGATTTGCTGTATTTGTCTGTACTTCCTTAAGGTAGCCTTGACTGTTTTTTGGCCTTGTGTGGGAGCTATATGGAACCAGAATGGCAGATATTTAAATTAAAAATTAAGTGCTGACAGAGGGCCAGAAACCTGTTTTTCTAACGATCAAGTTGCTAACAAGGCTCTAAAAGGTGTTTGCCTCCTTAGACCTACAGTTAGCCATACGGAGACAGTTCCATAAGAGACCAAAAACTCTGATTCTTCTTCTACCTTCTTGTAAATGTAATTCTCAGCTTTCAACAACAAGCTTTTCTAAGCAGATGTCTGAGTGAATAATTCATTTTTACAAGCAGTAGCATGATAGATGTTATCATAATAGATATTAGATGTCTAAAAAGCTGTCTTTTGTTGATATAAATTTAAAACAGTCTTTTAGGAAGGTGTTGAGAAATTATCTGAAGATAATGATCCACTGGTTGAGCTTCCTGTTTTAAACTCTTTTTCTCCCTGTAAATTTCATCATCCCTGTTAATTTAGCAGTAAAAATTAGAGCAGTAAAGTTCATGATTTTACTTAATTTTTGTCTTCCTACTATTACAGTGCTGCAACAGTTCATTTAGTGACTGTTTGAAGTTAGAGCGGCACTGAAAAAAGTGACTTATGACCATTTTTATACACTTCTGATTTTTCACACTGCAGCATCCCCATGGTCACATGATTTACATTCAGATGCCAGACAACTGACTCATATTTATGATGGTTGCAATGTCCTGGAGTTGCAACCTTCTGACAAGCAAAGTCAGTGGGAAACCAGATTCACTTAACAACCATGTTACTAATTTAACAACTGCAGTGATTCATTTAAAAATATGGCAAGAAGAGTCATAAAATGGGGCAAAACTCACTTAAGAAATAATCTCCCTTAGTGACATCAATTTTGGGCTCAGTTGTGGTCATAAGTTGAGGACTACCCGTACGACTTTTCTAAACATTATTTCTTGAATGTCTTAGGTCATTGCTTTGCAGATTCCTTCTTTTCTTTTGTAGATGTTCTGTAGAGCATTGTATAGATAATCCTTGGCTTAACAATGGTTCATTTAGTGTTGGTTCAAAGTTACAACAGCAATGAAAAGATTGACTTATGACCAGCTTTCACACTTGCAACAATTGCAAGCGTCACCTGATCAAAATTTAGATGCTTGGCAACTAACTCATATTTCTGACCGTTGCAGTGTCCCTGGGGTCACATGATTCCCCTTTTAAGACCTTCTGACAAGCTAACTCAATGGGGAAGCCAGATTAACTTAACAACCATGTTACTAAACCTAAATGGTTGAAGTTTGGACTGTTCTGAGATGATGCAATGACTGAAATAAACTTCGGACAGTGTTGATGAACCTTTTCGGCACCAAGTGCTGAAATGGGAGCGCATACATGTGGGCACGGGAGTGTCAGAAACCGGAAGAGCAGCTCCCTGGTGCACATGCTGGGAAACTGAGCTTCCGGTTTCTGGCACGCATGCATGCACGAAGACCAGAACCCAGAAGAGCAATGGGCAACAGCTGGTGTGCCTGGAGAGATGGCTTTGCATACCATTTCTGGCTTTCATGCTATAGGTTCGCCATAAGGGCCTTAGGAGATTGTGCAATGTAGTGAGTTCTGTGTCTTCTGCTAAATGGTAGTGGGTTAATCCTATTATGTCTTGAAGGGTCGTGTCCTCTTCTTCTTAACCCTATCACCCTGTAGCCTAAAGTCTTTTGTTTTGTAGATAGTCTGGCCCTGTCTTTCTTAATGGGCACAAAATATCTGCTGGAGGCGAGGGGCTATTAAGATTGAGTCTGCTTCCTGCCTCTAAAAAAACACGTTTCTCCATTTCTCATTTAGGGAAATACAGTATTCTGCCTTTTTTTAAATATACCTCAAAATATTTCATTCTTCTAGGAGGAAGGATGATGGCTCCCCACACATGGGATCTAGAATGTAAGAGGCACAGTTAGATCCGGTTGTGCTCTTCTTAGCGGCTTCATATACCTGGAGGAACAAGAAGCTTTTTCCTAATTGAATGGAGCTTGTTTGGCTTGAAATATCAATATGCATTTTCCTTCTTTTTTGCAGATTTAATCCTGTGTACAAATGACATGAACGTAAACATCCCACAGTTGGCAGACAGCCTATTCGAAAGGACAACCAACAGTAGCTGGGTAGTAGTCTTCAAATCTCTCATCACAACTCACCATCTCATGGTTCATGGAAATGAGGTAACACCTGCTTCTCTTATACTTCAATTAGTGCCTGTGAAACATGCTGGACCCCCCTTTCCTATAATTACCAGCAATTATGGCCAGTTGCTAGGCCTGGGAATATTGCTTCAGAGATACGTGTGGGTCCTTTTTCTCTCCCTGGTGGCTTTCCTTTCCATCAGGGAGTAAAAAAAATAGTTCAAAAATAATAAATAAGACAAAGAAAGGGCTAGCAAATACATATCGGAGAGCAAAACACCAGAATATATCACAATCCAATTTACACACGAAGGAAGACTGGTATATTTTGGTATCACAAGCGTATTTGCACCTTAAGTTTAAAAGGGCTAAGTCTGCTAGTTTCAAAACAAAAAGCAGCCTGGAAGGACATTATATTTTAAATGATACTTGTTAGTTATTATATGATTAAACCATAGTAAGCAAAAGAGGGGACAAGGTTCAGGAAAAGCAGTAACTTTGAAAAATTGCTCATCCATAATTACTAAAGATATACAGACTTAGCAACATCCATATACTGTATAATATGAAGGTAACCATAGATGTTAATCCTGTACATAATTCCATACAAATTTATCTGAGAAAATGATGTGCCTTACGCTCCTTGACTTTAAGGATTTCCGCCGGCTGTATATTTTGTGTCCATGTACATGCACCTATGGTTCTTGGTAAGTGACCCCTTGTCTCTTTATCTCTAAAGGAGGTATTTAAGTATACCCTCATCTTGAAAGACAAACTGGTAAAACTTTACATGGGGGCTATAGGTTGATTCCTACTTCCACTCAGTTTTTATGTTTAGTTCAATCTTCATATACAATCTTCATATACTATGCACTATGATATACTGTTGGGGGGGAAAAAAGATGAATTTTGAAATCTCTTAATGCCACTACAGATAGTCCTCGACTTACAGTTGTTCGCTTAGTGACCGATCAAAGTTATGGCCTACCTTTAAAAAAAGGGAATTGTAACATGTTTCTGAAGTTCTGATGGTCATGCCACCCTGCTGTGCAGTCATGTGACTACATCTTGGGTGCTTACCAACTCGGCCACATTTGCAGCATCCTTCAATCACATGACTGTGTTTTATGACTGTTTTGCCAGAAATTGACAGCTGTAGCAAACACTGGGTTCACTTAATGACTGCCATGTTGGTTTAATGATGCCACAAAAAAGGCCATAAAATTGGGTTGGTCACATGACCGACCTGTTTTATGGGCCATCATGACATGCCACCTTAATGGGCAGGCTCTGTTATATCTTGAGGACTACCTGTATTCAGAATATATTCTGAGGTGTAATGTGAATTGTGCCTTTTCATGAATTTTGGCTTCCATTCTCCTAAAGAATAGTGTTTCTTAAACCCTTTTAACTAAAAACAATTTCCAATTGTCCCAATTAAAAGTAGAGCAATGCTCCAATTATAATCCTCTTCTGTGAGCAGAAACAATGCTTTTTGGTTTGCCTATTTAATATTGCCTGTACTAACTTGTGTCTCAGGTATATAATTTTCCTAGGAAAAGGGGTGGGGCAGACCAGTATATTTACAGAACAATGATGCTATATCATTCTGAGAAATATATTCGGAGTATTAAACTAGCTCTTTTCCTCATACTTCTATACTACAATACTTTTATTTATACCATGCAATTCATGTCTTTGGCATTAGTGAGAACTTTATCAGTAAAGAAACAGGAAGCTGTGGGCTAGACAAGACTGAGAAATTAATGGGCTAGGTATGAGTCATCCAAAATGAGCATCATTAACCACATGGTTAAATCGTGACTGATTAAATGACTAAAATGGCTTTCCATACAGTTGTCTGCATTGTTCTAAGTAGGCCAGTGGAGAAACGATCCAGTTTTTAAAGCAAATTAGCCGTGTTTCTTAACTTTTAGAGAAAGTTTTAGTTACTCTGACAAGATTTGCAATCAGTGTCACTTTTTATGGGATTACAGGCTAGCAGTTCTTCTCCTAATATTCATTTCCAGAGGAATCTGTTGGCTCACAATGGTTTTCATTAACCTGATGAACAGACTGCATTTATATACTGGATTATCAGAATATTAAACTCCATTCGCTATGAGAAATATATTGAGCCGTGTACAATTCCAGATGAATAACTGAATCATTTTATTCCTTCCAGCGTTTTACCCAGTACCTGGCTTCCAGAAACACATTGTTTAACTTGAGCAATTTCTTGGACAAAAGTGGTTTGCAAGGTAAATTATTCAATCTGTGTCAAATAATCTCTAACTTGTTTTATAGTTTTAGTTCTCAGTCTTTTGTGTCTTACATCTAATGAAACTTTCTAGCAAGAAAAGCTGAATTGCACTATGACAGAAACTAAAAGCCCCCTTTTTTTCTCCATGAAGAACATGTTCATATGTTTACAAATATTTTTACTTCATTAGTTGCCTTGAGTGCTTGTGTCAGGGCTCCAACAAATCCACCCTCATTTAAATCAAAAGTCTCTAGCCATCTTGAATCTATATATATAAAAGCAAAATACTGCTCACGCATCATCACAAAATCTCCAGAACAGTAAAGCCTACAAACTTTGAAATTTGGCACATATGTTCCTCTTGGCTTCTAAGTGCTCATTAAGAAAGGATTTTTTGAAATGACCATCAGAGCATTAGCATTTCGTATATTGTTATTAACATGCTCTGATACTAAGGAGTTCTACTTCCCCTCCCAACCTGAAAAGAAATCTGTTCCAAATGCAAAACACAAGCAGAGGAGAGGAGTTTCAGTTTAGTTTCATAGCAGCAAGCAGCTTTAGTACAGAACAGTTGAGCTAAGCCACGCCCAGGCTCCTTACTCCTTGCTCACACAGCAAATACGTTTCAGTTTCCATGTTTCAGTTTCCAAACAGTCCTCAACTCTCTCACACACTGACAGGATGCTGGTAGGCAGAGGCAGAATTCCCCCTCACCTTATTTTCCTCCTCACAAATTAAACCCAATCATATAGTGAAGCACGGGTATAGAGTTAGTAGAAAAACAGAATATAAATTAAAATAACTAATCCATAAAACAAAAAGATTATTTTTATTAAGTTATTTTCTCTCATATGTCAGGATATTTTTTCCTATGTCTGATCAGTTTTAAGATTAATTTTCTACCCTCAGTTCAATATAGATTCAATGACAGCCAGTAAAAAGCACCAGTCTCAAAACCAGTAAATTAACAAGAAACAGCAAGGAAAATTTTTGCTGCATCACTCACCAAGGCTTACGTGTGGCTTCTTGCTTTCTAGCAATTACTCAGAAACTAGGAAAAAGTTAGATCCTGGGAAAGCTTGAAGGTTAAATAGAAAAAGATTGAAGGCAACTACTGTAATGTTGGATAAAGGCAGCAGTGGTGAAGGAAGCCGGCCACAGCTCCAAATCACCCATTATTATTATTTTTTTGCTTTACAAAAATACATTGAGAAGGAGAAAGATGTCAGACTTTATAAAGATGGTCCATGACTTGTGACCATTCACTTAGTGACTGTTTAAACTTAGAATGCACCATCCCAGGGGTTCTTATGGCCCGATTCGGAACTTCCAACAGCTTCTCTCCCCCCCCTCCTGCCCCCCCAGGTCACATGACTATTCGGCAGTTAGTCCATATTTAAAGCTATTTGCAACATCTCCCAATCATGTGACTGCATTTTAGGATGTTTTTGCCCAAGTTTTCATGTCCAGTTTTCAGCAAAGTACCCCACGATGAAAAATGGGTTTGCTTTTATAATTGCCATGTTTTTTCTGAATGACTGCGACATAAAACGATGTAAAAATTGAGTTGGTCACATGAGTGACCCGCTTTACCAGTGTTACAACTTATGACCATAATGGGCAGGTCCATTATAGTTATCAGTTGAGGGTTGCATGTATTGCAGTTTTATTCAAGCTAATCAATAACCCACGACTCGTAGTCCCAGTTTTTGACGTCAGTAAGCAAAATGAAGGTGGAGTGAGGGAACTCAAGGCATAATATCTGACGTGGTCCATAGCAAAACATATGCTGCTGATAATTATCTTACTGATTCAAACACATAATACGTTGGCAAGCCTTCAAATATCATAGTGTACCCCTTTAATAGTAAGAAATAACTTGCTTTCTGTTTGCTTCCTTTAGGATATGATATGTCCACATTTATCAGGAGATATAGCAGATATTTGAATGAGAAGGCAGTTTCCTACAGACAAGTAGCTTTTGACTTTACAAAAGTAAAAAGAGGGTAAGTATTTCACACGGATAAATCCATCACTTCTTTGCAGCATCTGCTTTAAATATGCGGAATAATTTAGAATATAAAAGTTCAAAGGGTGTGAAATAATTTTCAAAGCTTCAGGGATCTGATCCTTTCTGAAAACTGGTCACGAAATTGCTTAAACAATTTAAACATTAGTACTATTGTAGATAACTGTTATATCACCCCTGCTAAAAATCCCTGACAATATGCAACAATTCGAAAACAAAACAATAATAGCATACAAGCAGTGAAAACCAACAGCAAAATTAGCCTCCAAAAATTAATATACAATGAAATGTATAATTTTTGCTAAAATTAGAAATGGAGACAAATAAATAAATGGACCAAGAATTTTGGACGTATTGTTGTAATGGGGAAAAAAGAATAATAACAATAATTCAGTGACTTTATGAGTTTTTGATAAGCAAGTCAATGGGGAAGCCAAATTCACTTAACAGTCATGTTACTAATTTAACAACTGCAGTGATTCATTTAACACCTGGCAAGAAAGGTCATAAAGTGGGGCAACATTCATTTAACAAGTGTCTCAATTAGCAACAGAAATTTTGAGCTCAGTTGTGGTCATAAGTCGAGGATTCCCTGTACTACATTTAGTAGCGACTGGAAATCCTTCTGAACTTTTTGCTGAAAAACATGGAATTTTGGTTTATGAATTTCCTGGTTAAAGGGGTAGATTATGGAAAGAAAGTAATTTATATGGAGCCTTAAAGAGATTGAGTAAAATATAAACATACATATTATTGCTGTTAAGATTAGAAGCCACTTTATTATTATTATTTTCTATCTATTTCTTTTTCACTTTTTTATTTTTTCTCTATTTTACTTTAGCTTAATTGTATTGTTTTTGCTCTCTGGAGAAATTTATTTAATTAAAATTTTAAATGCACATACACAACTGATCAATGCAGAGTGAACACAGAGGGATTTTTTTTTTAAGCTGTGGTGTATTCTATTAAGCAATGACTCAGTTCTCAAGCACTTTCATTTTTCTTGTGTTTGCTTCAAGGAAAGTAAACACTTGTTTCAGGGAAAGTAATAAAAAACCCGTTGATGATTAGATTCATGATGTACTGATCCGGGTAGTTGGCACAATTGATCTGAAAATAAGTGGCATCAGAAAACATGCATGTGCAAAATTTATATGTTGTAGGCTAACAGCCAGAGCTTCTAATTGGATGGAAGTTGAAGAATGTGGAGGATAATTTTTGAAAATCTACTAGCATATCTGGTTCTTAAAACCCCAAACTAGCTTCCAGTTTGTTTATGTTAGAAATTCCAACGCAAACTACATCGCTAAATAATTTCATTGGGAAAAAGCAGGGTAGTTCAGAAATTAAGCCCAGTCCAATTTGCTACCTTATGAGAAAAAGGAAGTGAAAAAAAACCAGAGCAATCTTAAATATGTGTGGCGGGTATTATACCAAATCCATTTAGTGATCTAACCATTTTTATTTTCTTTTTTAATAGAGCTGATGGAGTCATGAGGACAATGAATACTGAAAAACTGATAAAAACTGTACCAATTATTCAAAACCAGATGGATGCACTGCTTGATTTCAACGTAAAGTCATTTTATCTACTTACAAAGGAATACTATACAGGAGCTTTTAAATGATCAGAATTAATCTTGTATTGCTTTCAGCTTATTGAATTAATCTGATTTAACTTATGTCTCTTTAATGGCATCTAAACACCTGTTAAATTTGCATAAGGTAGTAAAAATCTATGTTTGCCTAATATATATGTTAGAACGTACATATTGCATGATACAAAAATATGCATGTAACTAAATATATTCATGAAGTATTTAAAACACACTGTTGTGTTAGAGAAAATAGACTTTGTATCAACAGTAGTTCGGAACTAATAGCTGGGTGAAATGTATTCAAACATGGTTTGTGTTACCACTGTTTAGAATCCATACCCTGGTTTGAATTTCAAAATGTAAGGGGGAGCATTCTTAACAGTTGTTTCAGCTTCTTTAAACATGGTTAACTTGATATCTGAATGGAGTAGAAGCCCAGAACTGTTAGTAGGTCCAGGTAGAAAGACCACACTTCGTTCCACTGAGTTCTTCTGTTAATTGTACAGATGAGAACAATCAAAGCTGGGAAATGTTATTCCTTTGGGCCAGTATTTTTCAAGCATGACAACTTTTGAGTTGCGTGAACTTCAACTTCCAGAATTCTAGGGGTTGAAGTCCACTTATCTTAAAATTGACAAGTTGAACATGGCTCTGGAAACATTGGAGGGCCCTTTAGCAGTTAGGTGCTATGCCTGCCTTTTGTTCATTAGAACCAGATTTGAAATTGGGGGATGAAACCTGCTTCAATTTTCTCTCGGCAAAATAGCCCAGAAGAAATGCCATCATTAGTTTGTGTTAGATAGCCGTCAATCCCCCTGGCTAAACAAGACAGAAAATACAACCAGATGGGCTAAATCTACTTTATTGAAAGACTTCATTAACAGAATCTTTCAAGTCTGAAGGTACAACTTCCTGCCACCAACTTTTAACCCCATGATCAATTAGGGCAAGTCCTTCCTCAGTTTCTTCCTCTGAGCATTAAGCCTTTGGCAGCTTCCCCTTCTCTTGTCTGATTGATTCCAAGGCAGCATATCTCTTTCTCTCAGGCTTGTTTGTATCTCGCCTTTATTATCTTTACAAACAATCCAAGACAGCAAACATACGCAACATGTCTTCCTCTTATTTCCCCACAATAACTACCCTACGAGGTCAGTTGGGCTGAGAAACACTGACTGATCTAAAGTCACTCAGCTGGCTTATTCATGACTAAGGCAGGCCTTGAACTCACAATCTCCCGTGTTTTTTTAGCCTGGTGCCTTAACCATTAGACCAAACTGGCTCTTTCCCAAGGTTACCCACACGTTCCATTACTACAGCAGAATGTTGGCAGAACCGCACAAACTTATGAGAAAGGGGCAGGGTTTTTTTTTCTTCTCTCTCCATAATTACATTGTACATAGTTGCATTATTCTGGATGAATAACTGCAAATCAGTTTCCCAATATGGCATAATATTTATGCAAGGATATTTTAATGTGATTTTTTTTTTTTTTTGCTGAATTGTGAAGTTTGGGAAGGGCTACAGGTGAGAATGGAAATTTGCCATCTTGTTTTCATCAGTAAAAGAGCCTAAAGTTAAGGATAAATCACCCTGTTGAAAATAAGCTCATTCGCTGCCAAATTTCTGAGGCATGAGCAGAGGGTGTTTTGTGAGATGCCTGTCTGAGAACATCGGTGCAACTATGGGAGAAGACTTTTGTCTCTGCAAAAATGCAAAGAGGGAATGGGTGCCCTTCAACTCTTCTTCAGGAGAAGGGTCAAGTAGGATTGTGTCTACCAGATGCAGGTAGTCCTCCACTTTAGACCACAATTGAGCCCAAAATTTATGTTGCTAAGTGAGAAATTTGTTCAGTGAATTTTGCCCCATTTTACGACTTTTCCTGCCACATTTGTTAAGGGAATTACTTCAGTTGTTATAACACAGTTGTTAAGTGAATCTGGTTTCCCCATTGACTTTACTTGTCAGAAGGTCGCAAAAGGGGATCTTATGAGCATGAGCCATGTTGGCCCAGTGGTTAGAATACAGTATTGCAGGCTAACTCCCCCCAGTGCTAGGAGTTTGATCCTGACTAGCTCAAGGTTAACCTTCCAAAGTCCTTCCAAGGTCAGTAAAATGAGGACCCAGATTGTTGGGGGGCAATATACTGACTCTGTAAACCGCTTAGAGAGGGCTGTAAAGCACTGTGAAGCGGTATATAAGTCTAAGTCAAGGGTCTTCAAACTTGGCAAGTTTAAGACTTGTGAACTTCAACTCCCAGAATTCCTGAGCTAACATGACTGGAGGAGGAATTCTGGGAGTTGAAGTCCACAAGCCTTAAAGCAGTCAAGCTTGAAGACCCCCGGTCTAAGTGCTATTGCTACATGACCCCAGGACACTGCAACTGTCATAAATAAGTAGCATTGTCCAGAATGTCAATCGCATGACCATGGGGTCGCTGCAACAGTCATTAAGTATGAAAAGTGATCATCTCGCTTTTTTTCAGTGCTATTGTAGCTTCAAATAGTCACTAAATGAACTGTTATAAATCAAGGACTACCTGATTGAGTTTATCTGCAATATGAAGTAGAAGATAGTGTGGATGGGCTTTTTCCCAGTTTACTTAACTTCTCTCTCTCTCTCCGTCTCCCCCCCTTTTCTTTCTTTTTATAGGTCAACAGCAATGAACTCACAAATGGTGTAATTAATGCAGCCTTTATGCTCCTTTTCAAAGATACCATTAGACTTTTTGCAGCATATAATGAAGGGATAATTAATTTGCTGGGTAAGAACTTTCTCAACCACTCAACTCCTTATACTTACTTAGTAAGGTTGTGAATTTCATTTTCATTGTTTTTCAAGACGATTTCACATCAGCCTTTAAGAACAGCTTTCTTTACATATAAACAGAAATAATCCTGAATGCAAGCTGATTCAGAATAATTTTGGCACATTCGGTTCTTTAAATTATTATTTTTCTGTAAAACCATTCACCACACAATCAAATTACACTTTTCTCTCTGTTCCTTCTTTATGGAATGTGGCAATGTTGGTAATAGATTTGACCTTAACTCAAGTTTTGTTGTCATAACTTACGTTTGTTAGATTGATTTAAGGATAAATGTTAAGTCCCTGAATAGAGTAAGCAGGCCAGACATGTCCATTTAATACAGTGTATTGATTTTAATGTTATAATCAAAATTCATACTTCACTAGTCACTATGAATCAATTCCATGTGAAGAAGAAATGAAGGCTAGAATATATGTCAAATCAATTTGTAGTTTGTCTTGTTCTTGATAAATTAAATTTCTACTTTTTAGACTACAGGTAGTCCTCGACTTATGAATGTAATTGTGCCTGGCAATTATATTGGTAAGGTGGGACACCCATGACCAGACCTGTTATTGAAACTTTTTTGCAATGGTTGAACCCATTGTTCGCTATTGGCTGAATTTTCATGAAAACTGGAAGTAAACACCAGTTCTGGCTAAAATGTCGTAAATCATGATCATGTGACTGCAGGGCACTGCAGATGCCATAAATGTGGATCGGTTGCCGAGTGTCCAAAATGCAGTCATGTGACCATTAGCAGGAAGCAACTTGTAACTTCAAAAGTGGGTTGTAAATCCCTTTTGGGGAGGGTTGTTTGTTGGAACTTTGGCCTGTCATAAGTCGAATACTACCTGTATATGCAGAGCAACAATAATGGAAATTAAATATCTTCCTGCCCTGTTCTTGATATTCTCCGAATTGTTGCAGAATTGGTACATTCATCACTTACTAATTATTCTGCAGCTGGACAGGTCTGGGGTACAATAAGGCATAAGCTTAGCATTGTAAAATTAAGTTCAATGGCGCTGCCTGCCAGCAAGGTACATGCATGCTCCTTGGTGCTGTAAAATCACAAATGCATAAATGGGAATCAGGCAACATCAAAACTAAAAGTCTTGGGTTAAACAGAGTAAATAATGTGTGTGACAAATTATTTAATTCTTAATCGTGGCTGTAGGCTGCCCTTATGTGTATGGGAAGACATGCAGAACAGGTATGGACAACCAGAGAACTCTGTGAGTTATCTCACTATGCCCAGACTTCCTTCCATAATTGTTTTTCTTCATAATTTCCGAAAGTCACTCTTAACAGCAGCCTGGTTTAAACATGAGCTGCAGTGATCCCATTTTATTATTTGAAAAGGATAGGTGATTGATTTTGACGGACATAAATTTTGTTTTGAAAGCAGCAAAGAGGACGAAACAAGGAGCCTCCAGCTGCATGAGTAAGATTCGGATTCTTAAAATTTTAAATTAAGATTTATTTAAATTCTTTGGCAGCCCAGTTCCAGTTACATTAAAAGTTTGAAATGAAAGTGATAACGTTGTTTTGAGATGACTGAAGTGAGGGGATATATAATTTAGAGATTGGCATTAGAATGTTCATGTTTTGAAGAGTAGAATCAAAACGGTATACTGAAACAATGAAAAGGCGCGAAAATATTGATCATAAGAATGTGGACAAATAATGAGGTGTAAATGTAACTGGAAAACATTTGTTAACCTATAAATTGTTTTTAAATGATATTACTCTGGTTTGCCTAGAAAGAAGTAGTCTGGGTTGTTTAACATGCATGAAGGCTGAATCTCTTTCTGATTACTGGAAAAATTCTGTTACTGTTCTCTTAAACAAGAAGGCAGTAGAAATGAATGCAAAACTACAGAGGAACTAAATGGTTAAGCGTATTTAGGAAGCATATTTGTTTAAAATTGTAAAAAGGTGAGAATGAACACAATTTAAGAACTACAGTTCTACTCTATACCAGACATTGGTTGTGCAGATCAGACTTTTGCCTTTCAAGCTGGTCATTCAAAAATTTATAGATATAAAAGTGTACTGTATATTTAGTGAAAGCGTCTGACAAACTGAATAGGCTTGAATTATGGAACATTCGACATGAATGTGGATCGAATGTTGGTTATGGAATAGAGCAGTATATGAAAAAGCATGTATGTAATTGAACATTTAGAAAGCAATTCAGTGTGGAGAAGGGAGCAAGGCAAGAGTATGAGATGTCCCCTTCGTTGTTCATGTCCCCTTCGTGTTTTTGAATAGGTGAATGTAGCTTGGTGTTTGTGAAGAACCTATGATTTGCCACCAATGTTAGATTGTATGCTGCAAAATAGGGATCTCGAAATTGATGTTTTAAAGACCAGGGTGGTAGTTGTGATTGACAAAAAAATGGAACAAGATACAAGCCACACACACACAAATGATAAAAACTAGGGCAAGTAGTTTTAATGTAGCCTTGAATAAAGGAAATTCAATTTGTTATATATATAGCATTTTTATTTAAGGGTAACCTTGGTGATGTTTTTAGAGCAGCTCAAATATACATTTATGCTGTGGGATTTCATTTTAGTATTTAGTATAAACACAGGCTTTTTTAGAGTTCTAATTTTAAGTAATTACCTGTTTGAATTTAATTCCAGCTCACATCCCACTCTTTCTTATTTTGGGATTGTTGTTGGTGTATCAGACCTTCATAATACATTGACAGGCTGCAAGGAAATTATTGTGATGTTTAAAATTTAATACAGTGAACAGCTGTAAACATCTCTAACCTTTATAACTGTGTAATAGACAGATTTTTTTGCTGTAAACAAGATGATTATCATGACCATTCTCATTTTAAAAAATTTCCTTCTGCAGAAAAATACTTTGACATGAAAAAGAATCAATGCAAGGAAGCCCTTGACATATATAAGAAGTTTCTGACTAGAATGGCAAGAATTTCTGAGTTTCTCAAAGTTGCGGAGGTAAAAATTGCTTAGTCCGTAAAGAATATTCTTACTGTTTTATTATTTACTATATTTTGACTGGATATTATTGCCAATAATTTATGGAATGTTTAAAAATTTCATTGAAAGCTTCCATCGGTGCTTCTCAATCTTGGCCATTTTAAGATAGGTTGACTTAAATTCCCAGAGTTCCCCAGCCATTGCTGGCTGGGGAATTCTGGGAGTTGAAGTCCACCTTTCTTAAAATGGCCACAATTGAGAAACACCAATCTAAGCTTAGATTAAACCACACTGAAGAGAAATCCAATGGAAGTACTGGGAAGATTAATATTGGTGCAGATACAGATTTTGTGAATATTTCATTCACATTGGCTGCTTTCCAACACTGTTGATATACTGTATATGAACTAAGTCTTCTTACATAGTTAGGAATCATTTAAAAAAATATTGTCATATTCTCTGGGTAACTTGTAGACTGAAAAATCAGTGGTTGAAAAGCATAGAATGTTAAAGTGAGGGTCTAGAAAAAAGTATGAAGGAAATGAAGGAAAAAATTAAAAGATTGGTTACAAAACAGGAATATTATTTGCTAATGTGCCTAACCTCATTTGATAAAGGCCCTTGGAATCTTTACCTTCTACTGATAGCCCTCAACCTATGACTAATGAAACGAGCTTATCACTATCGTAAATCGTGACGGTTTTAAAATGGATTGGTCACATGACCGACCCAATTTTATGAGCTTTTTCGTGGCAGTTGTTAAGCAAACATCTAGGTACAGTTTTACCAAAACCCAGAAGTAAGTTCAGTTTTCGGCAGAACTGTCATAAAACCTGGTCATGTGACTAGAGGATGCTGCAGTTAGTCCTAAAAATGACTTTTGAACTTCTGACAGTTGTGTTCTATGACTGAATTCAGTCACAGGAACCCAACTGTCAGAAGTTCAAAACCAGGTCGTAACTGCTCCAAGAAAGATCTGATGTACATTCGAAGGGTCGTTAAGCAATTGGTCATAGATTGAGGACGACTATATTGTATTGGATCTGTACAGATAGGCAATAATTATAACCAACAACTCTATAGCCATTTTTACTTGGCTGCACCTGTGTGTTCATCTTCATCTAATCTAACCTCCGTGGCCAAAGTCTTACTTAGAATAGCTTTAGCTGTGACTGGAAAAAGAGAAATCTTTGTTAATTAGAAGTCAGATTACAGGCCATCCTTGATTCTCAACCATTTGTTTAGTGACCATTTAAAGTTACGACAGCACTGAAAATTTTTCAACTTCTATCTGTTTTTCACACTTACAACTATTGCAGCATATCTGTGGTCACGTGACCAAAACTAGGACACTTGGCAATAGGCCTGTTTTTATGATGGTTGCAGTGCCCCAGGGTTGCGTGATCTCCTTTTGTGACCTTCTGACAAGCCAAATCCATGGGGAAGCCAGATTCACTTAACAACCACATTACTAACTTAACAGCTGCAACGATTCCCTTAATAATTGCGACAAGAAAAGTAATAAAAAAGGGCCAAATTTGCTTAATAGCTGTCTTGCTTAGCAGTGGAAATGTTGGGCTCAATTATAGTCATAAGTTGAGGACTAGCTGTACACCTCTGCGTAAAATCTTGAGCTCCGACTTAGGTACAAAGCTGTTGGAAAGATTGTATGTTAACTGAATGGATCTTTCACAATTGGTGTTCCTCCATGTACTTTGTCTTTACTTGTATTACATGAGAAGGCTGTTATCAGGGAAGGTCAGAACATAGCTGCTTCTTCCAAGAAATTTGATAACTCTACACTGGTTGGGTGAGGTAACTGCTGTTCAGGCGTTATATAGTATAATCTGATAAAATTTTGTTGACTAACCACCAGGTTAATTTTATGGAACAATTTTATGGTGTGGGTGATAAGAATGAAATGCATATCCTCTTACTGTCCTGTTCCCCAAGATCTAAATCAGGGGTCTTCAAACTTGGCAAGTTTAAGACTTGTGGACTTCAACTCCCAGAATTCCTCCTTCAGTCATGTTAGCTTAGGAATTCTGAGAGTTGAAGTCCACAAGTCTTAAATGAAGACCCTTGATCTAAGTTATGGGCTGTAGCATCTGTCTACAGGTCTCCTTTTCCTTACATTTTTGCCGTGAAAAGCCTTAATAAGTTTATTTAGAATTCTGTCCTTGAGTGATTGCCCAGAAAGGCAGGAGGTAAAACTGCAAAAGTCCTTTCGTTTAATTTTTCTGAGCCTCTATGCTAGAGGAAGTTTGTCTCCCCCCCCACCCCCAAGAGTTGATTTAATTTGTCAGAATTAATTAATTACTTTAAAAGATCCATGCTACCAATTTGCATATTATTTGTACAGGCAGTCGTTCCCTTACAGCAGATCGTTTAGTGACCATTCAAAGTTACAGTGGCCCTGAAAAAAAAAGGTGTTTTACGGTCATTTTTCACACTTAACGACCGTTGCAGCATCCCCGTGGTCACAAGATCAAAATTCAGACACTGGGCACCTGACTCGTATTTATGATGGTTGCAGTGTCCTGGGCTCACATGATCCCCTCTTGCGACCTTCTGACCAGCAAAGGTCAAGGGGGAAGCCGGATTCTCTTAACAGCTGCGTGACTAACTGAACAGCTGCAGTGATTCACTTAACAACCGTGGCAAGAAAGGTCGTAAAATGGGGCAAAAGTCACTTGAGAAATGTTACGCTTAGCAAACAGAAATTTTGGGCTCAGTTGTGGCCGTGAGTCGAGAACTACCCATATTCACATTTTAGTACTGTCCCATCCCATTTCTAAGCCACTGAAGGCTTTTGACCGAGAAGAAGTAAACCATCATAATAATGGTTTTGGTCAAGCTCTTAATGAACATATTAGTCAGCTCCATCATTCACACTGAGAATTCATTGGGACAATATGGTTTGGTCTCCTTAGCAGCAGTGAAGGGGCCTGCAGACTCCAGTCCACCACAATAAAGTGCCGCACCATAAGAAATAAAATAGCAGATGTTTCAATTGCTGTTTAATGCAGCGTGGTGGGATTTGCAGAAGATTTTTCATGGGGGAATCCGGTGAATGCGAAGCAGATTGTCAGGGAGTTTAAAATGTTCTCCCTGAGTTGTTTAACCAATCTGTGGAAAAGAAGTTTGGCAAAGGAAAGGAAAAAGAAGAAGAAAAATGTTTTCTTCCCTGTCTGTTATTTATTCCCACAGTTTTTTGTAGGTTATTGACCTCAGAGCAGCAATCCAAGGAAATGTGCACATTTGCAATTCCGCCAGTATTATCGCTCCAGGATCTGTTGGGTTTTTAATCTGAATGCGCCTGTTTGCTTAAGACGAGTCATCTTGCTCACAAAAAATCCACCTTTTTATTATTTTGAAGAATTAAGAAATGTTGATCTGTACGGCGTATCTGTGTTAAAAATATTAAATGTGATGGACAGTAGAACTTTCAAGAATACAATAGTTTTGTAGTTGTCAGCATGTACACTGGTGGTTGTAGTGTAGCTGCAATGCATTACAGGTAGTCTTCGCCTTACAATAATTCATTTAGTGACCGGAATTACTGTTAGGGATATACCCTAGCAAGGATCTGCAGGGCAGTCAGGCAGGCAGGCAAAATATGTGAGATAAGTGTTGTGTAGCTTACACTCAGTAAACCATACACAGTGCCAATTAAAGTAGTTTTATTCCAGCAAGAGTTAAAGCATAGTCAAAAAACAGTCCATATATCATACACTTATTTCAGTCCGTCCAGGGATTATCCAGTTGCAAATTCCAATGTCAAAAATGAGAGGTCGGTACACTTACAAAATAACAGTCCGGTAATTTATCTCCTCGCAGTAGAAAGAGATATGCACAAACTCAGAAAACTCCTCTCTTCCGTTTGCAACTCCAGTAATTGCCAGCAAAGCGTCAGGGAATCGTCAGCTTCTCGTCAGCATCTCTTGCTCCCTCTTATGGTGGTTTCACACCACACCCAAAACACATGCTTTGCATTTAAAGTAACACACACTTTAAACTAAGAATCATAGCTTATATATATATTATCTTACCCAAACTAGTTAGGTGACCAATGCTATACCTAACAATTACAGTGGTACTGAAAAAAGTGACGTATAACCATTTTTCACACTTAACGACCATTGCAGCATCTCTGTGGTTACATGACTCCTTGGCAACTGACTCCTATTTATGACGGTTGCAGTGTCCTTATGGCCATGTGATCCCCTTTTGCAAACTTCTGACAAGCCAAGTCAATGGGGAAGCCCGATTCACATAACAACCTTCTTACTAAGTTAAGTGATTCACTTAAGAACTGTAGCAAGAAAGGTCGTAAAATGGGGCAAAACTCACTGTGCTGTCTCGCTTAGCAACAACTTGTTGGCTCAACTGTGGTCGTAAATCGAGGACTACTTTTACATTGCAATACATTTAAAAGGTAAAGGTTTCCCTCACACATACGTGCTAGTTGTTTCCGGCTCTAGGGGGCGGTGCTCATCTCCATTACAAAGCCGAAGAGCCAGCGCTGTCCGAAGACGTCTCCGTGGTCATGTGGCCGGCATGACTAAACGCCAAAGGCGCACGGAACACTGTGACCTTACCACCAAAGTGGTCCCTATTTTTCTACTTGCATTTTTACATGCTTTCAAACTGCTAGGTTGGCAGAAGCTGGGACAAGTAATGGGAGCTCACTCCGTGACGCGCCACTAGGGATTCGAACTGTCAAACTGCCGACCTTTCTGATCGACAAGCTCAGTGTCTTAGCCACTGAGCCACTGCAATACATTATAATATATTAATTGTAGTATACTGTAATATATTGCAGAGCACTACAACAGGGATTGCAAATACAGGTACTTCGTCTGATATACTGAAAAGTTTGTTTGCTTCCACTGTAGTTGTGTTCACTGTGTCAACCATCAATTCTGTTCACTGTGTCAACCATCCTTCTTTTATGATGTTATAATCACCAATGAACTTCCTTCATTGTTTTTAGCCAAATGTTGCTGAAGCCTTTATCTCATTAAATCTCTTTGTTCTTGCAGCAAGTGGGGATAGACAGAGGAGATATACCAGATCTTTCTCAGGTAAATTCATTATGATTAATTATTATCTTTCTTGTACATGCCATCTTGAGTTGTCAGAAAGACAATTTTGATGTAATTTGATCATACTTAACAGAATGGAGAATTTTTTTGGTATAAAAACCGTAAGTTTAAAACCTGCAGTTTTACCCATGGTTCAACTTTTGCATAAACAATTTTTACATTTTTCAGGATTGATCTTTGATAAGCTGGGGAGTTTGATAGTTTTTATTCTCTTCTGCCATTTTTCCCCTTTTGGTTTATATTTTGTGGCTTTAAGCTATTGATATTTTTGTTTTATTTTAAACCTTTGTTGCCACATAAGTCACTGTGGTAAGAGGGGGGGGGGGTAATATCTGTTTTTAAATTTTTCCTTAAAGTACTATGTACTTGAATGTAAATAATATTTTGAATTTTCTTATTAAGCTAAAAAAATACCTCAGTAGAGTACACGATTGCCAAGAACCAAGGAAGGATAAAAGATTTACAGTAATTAATATACTGATTTGGCTAAAGTAGTAACTGCTTTAAAATTGTATTCCTTGGAATGTGGAATAAATGCCAGTTCTTAAATGTACCATTTGATCTGCTTTTTTCTGAAATTTATGATCGCTTTTTAATCCGTGTCTGATAACATAATGGAATCCTACCTGCTACTTAATACATTTTAATCACTGGAGAATGATGATGATGGTATGATATCATATTGCTGCCAATCTTGCAATTACAATTAGGCAGTAAGAATAGGGTTACAAAACTAGATAATCCTGAAGATTATGCTTTTTTAATGATTTTTAATGTTTTTTATGTTTTTTCATTATTTTTGTTAAAGTTTGGTCATTTCTGTACCATAAAAATATATACATTCATAACAACAGACTTGCCATTTCCCAGGGAACAACCCAGATCTTCAAGGATTTACAACAGCAATAGCACTTAGACTTATATACCGCTTCATGGTGCTTTACAGCCCTCTCTAAGCGGTTTACAGAGTCAGCCTATTGCCCCCCAACAATCTGGGTCCTCATTTTACCTACCTTGGAAGGATGGAAGGCTGAGTCAACCTTGAGCCGGTCAGGATTGAACTCCTGGCATTTGGCAGAATTAGCCTGCAATACTGCATTCTAACCACTGCGCCACCACGGCTCATGCTCATACAATCCCCTTTTGCAACCTGCTGGGGAAAAAAGTGACTTATGACCATTTTTCACAATGACTGCTTGCAGTATCCCCATGGTCATGTGATTTACATTCAGATACTTAACAATGGTATATATTTATGACGGTTGCAATGCCTTGGAGTCATAGCCTGAAATATTGCATTCTAACCACTGCACCACCGCAACTTCCAAAATGTCCACAGACTGGAGGCTGGGAAGGTTGGCACTAAATGTTTTGGATTTTCTAACCAATCGATGAATTGTCTTGTAGGCACCAAGTAGTCTTCTGGATGCTTTAGAACAGCACCTCGCCTCCTTGGAAGGAAAGAAAATAAAAGATTCTACCGCTGCTAGCAGGTATGTGTCAGAGGCTTTTTATAACCAACTGGGCACTGGGTAGCATGCGAGCTTCTTCGGATATGCTTTGTATATTTAATATTGTGTGGCCAATTCCTTTGCCTGATAAAATTTGACACCCGCTGCTCTGCTTTGTAATAACAAAGGGAAAATTACATGTGACACTCCCTTAGAGGGAAAAACCAGTCTCAGTCCTCGTGTTTGTATATATAAAGAGGTTATGTGGACATATTAAACATGAAACTCTGAAATGGTGTCTATGGAGATTCTCAATTATCAAGGTCATGGTTGTCCCAAAGGTACTTTTTTAAAAGGGAGGTGGACTTTTTTTTTTTTTTCTCATTGGAGACGTTTCGCTTCTCATCCAGGAAACTTCTTCAGTTCTTCTTCAGAAAATCCACTTGCCACTTGAAAAAGCACCTTTGGGATATCTGAAATGGTGTAGTGTAGAAATAGTTTCTACCCTTGTATCTGTAGAAGCACGATTTCTGTAGTTTACTGTTGTGCTTCCATATCTGTAGTGATCCTCCTAGGCTTTAATTTTGGATTTCCTACAAAAAGATGTCTGAACGAAGATGAAATTGCTAATAGCATGTTAGCGCTGGATACTATTTTCCCTTTAAAACAGCTTGGAATTTTGTGTCTGCTTATTTCTGCAATGAATAATTCTTCCTGAAGAAAAAAATCCATTGACTTTTGCAGGAAATACCTCTGGCTGATCTTATTCTTCAGTCATTGTCTTTATTTAGCAAAACATTTAGCATTGCTTTCCTGCTGTGATACAGAGTAATCACTATTTCAGAGCCTTGGTTGCTGATTATTTTACTAAATTCCTGATACAAGCTTATATAAGGCGTTCCTACCTTACAGTTTGGAGTGACACAATTCTTATCTTTCTGATTTTCCCTTTGGCACTACTGGGACCAAAATAGTTCATTAAAAACATTCCTAGGAGACGGGAAAGGGTAGGGGAGGTTAAAAAGAGGGGGGGGGGGAGAAAAATTAATAGTCCCTATTTACTCTAGGAAAAAGTGGCTCACCATTGTTCCCAACAGCAGTAAATCTGTGGGATAGGTTTGACTCCAAGTAACTGGTTGAAATGCACCCTGTGAATGTTCATGTCTCAGAGTGGATGAGAAACTGGTCTCGCCAGGTTACTCCAACATCACAGTGGCATAACCACAGTACTAAATCTTCTATAATTTACTGCATGTAAGCAACGAAAACAATATCTATAAAGTTCTCAAGGCTGGACTGGTGATTTTGCTCTGTTTAATCCCCCTGAAGCCTCTTGTTATCTTGAATAACTTAGTTAAAGTCATGCCTGTGAGGCACATAACTGGGAATGAACAAAGCCTAGTCAATAAGCAGTCTATTAATCTAATATAAAATGTAATTAAACTTCAGTTACCAGCATTGCCTTGAAGGAAATATTAATAAATGCATTGTTTGTTGAATGCTGAACAAATGAAGTACAACAGAATCCCTTTTCCTAACTACAGTGTATAATAGTCAGTTCCCTATTGTCACATTTTCCTAGGGCTACCACGCTTTCCAATGCTGTTTCTTCCCTTGCAAGTACTGGCCTCTCTCTCACCAAAGTCGATGAAAGGGAAAAACAAGCTGCACTAGAGGAAGAACAGGCCCGTTTAAAAACTCTGAAGGTTGGTGCGTTTTTCTTCCTTTAGACAGGGGTGTCAAACTCGACTTCAGGGTTGTGTTTGACCTCGGGGGTAGGGGCGCGTAACCAGCTCGACATCACTCGTGTCAGAGGCACTTGTGGTGGCCAAGTGCTAAGGCAGGACTTCCCTCAGACTCTTCCTACCTCTCATATAATCTTCCTTCCTTCCCCTGGTCCTATTTTTGATCACGACGGCCTCCTGTAGCCCTCTGGCAGCAAAAATGGAGCTCCATTTTTGCTGGCAGAGGCACTGCGGGCCAGTCCTTTGCTGTGTCTAGGGCAGCCCTGCAGGCCAGATCTAAGCACCCCGTGGCCCCTGAGTTGATAGCAATAGCACTTAGACTTATATACCCCTTTATAGTGCTTTATAGCCCTCTCAGAGCAGTTTACAGAGTCAACCTCTTGCCCCCAACAATCTGGGTCCTCATTTTACGCACCTCGGAAGGATGAAAGGCTGAGTCAACCTTGAGCCTGGTGGGATTCGGTCTGCCAAATTGCACTCTAACCACTGCGCCACCAAGGCTCCTCCAATTGATAGCCATGCTTTTGACCAGTGCATCTCAACCTTGGCAAATTTAAGATGCGAGGACTTAACTCATGCTGGGAATTCAAGTGTGTGCAATTAAAGTTGCCGTGATTGAGAAGTACTGCATTTTAAATCGGTTTCTGTATGTTCAATGTCCCTTTGGTTGCAGAAAGATTTAAAAAAATGGGCTGAATGGGATACCTTTTCAAGTTTGGGAACCAATTTTTTTTTTAAAAAAATGCCCAGGACACCGGATCAGGACGCAAAATGCCACGGATAAGAAAACTGGTTGCAGTCTCTGCCTTACTTTGTCATGAAATCTCATCAGATACACTTTGAAAAACCCTACTGTCAGTGATTGGGACTTCAGTTTCCATCATCCCCAAATAGCATACTAACAGCAAGGGAATATGTGAGGGAATATTCCAGAATTCTCATGGTCAGAACACAGAAGCTAATTTACAAACCATATGTAGCTTACTACGGATAGTAAAGCAATATTTAAAATTGTCAGTTGGTAATAGAAATGGAAAAACAGGGCTGCCCCACTAGTGATACTAAAGAACAGATCTCTCCGATTTTCCCTTCCCTGTGGTGGTTTGTCCTTACAGCCAGTCATTCTAAATAATTTTGTGATATTGAGAATTTGACTGTGTTTTCTTCTCTTCCTCTCCTGGAGTAAAGAAGAGGATGGAGAACAGCAGGGCAACTGGGATTGCTAACTGACCACTTCCTCAGTATAGTCTGAACTTTCTTTATTAGTTCCCCACACATCTCAGTGGGGTTTACACTCATTGCAAGCAGTCCACTCAGGAGTTGGGCTTGTGTGGGTGCACGTGGGAAGACGGAAGAGGGGTGGGAAGCTAGTGATCACTTGCACAGGACACTTGCTAACACTGGTGTTGTGATAAATGAGATGTCAAGAACAGCTTTGAGACGGAAGTGGATGGTTAAATGCATTTGAGGTTCTCTTCCCCATTCCTTGTGGAGTTTTTTTTGCCCATTATCCTCTGGCAGAGAGGTTATTTTTTCCCTTAGTCTTTTCCTTTGCAGAAAGAGTCTTTTTCCGTCTTTGTCTCTGCCTCTCTCTCTCTCTCTTTTTTTGTCGGTCTGTCTGTCTGTCTCTCTCTCTCTCTGTCTCTCTCTCTCTGTCTCTCCCTCACTCACCTACACACACACACACACACACACACACACACATGCCTTAATCCCTCGCAGAGATTTCTGCACACACACACACCCGCCCCCAAATTCTGTGGAACTTGTTCAAGTTCCCAAGAACTCAGTTTTGGAAAAAAAAAACTCCACACCAGTGGACAAGGTAGGTTATTTTCAATATCAAAAGTATTTAGGAACAACTGCGTTGTTTGGGAAATAATACAGTATATAAATGCCACAGTATTTATAATATCCACTTCAAACTCATTGTTTGAAACAGCAGTGGGCAAAACATTTAGCATCAAACTGGTAAATGTTTTGTAGCCTCCTGTTTGAAACCAAAGAGTTTCATGCACAAGGTCATTATAAACCAGTGTAGAAACAGTAATAATGTATGTATGCTTGAATAGTATTTCATGCTTATGCCTTGGGGTGTTTTAACAGGGTTTTTGTTTCTGGTGGTCAAAAACAGGTTGCTTAGGCCTTTGTTTATTTCGTGTATCATTGAAGAGAAAAAAAAATATGACTTGTTCTTGGCCATCAAATCACCTGATTTTTTTTAAAAAAAATCTGGTTTTATTCTTCCAACAGGAACAGCGTCTAAAAGAGCTTGCAAAGAAACCCCACTCGTCTTTAACCACAGCCTCTTCCCCTGTGTCTAATGCTGCAGGAAGTATAATGACCACCCCAGCTATCGATATTTTTTCCACACCCAGCTCTTCAAACAGGTAAGATTCAGAACAGATAAGATTCAGAAGAGGTGTTTTGCCAAGCGCTAATTTGAGGGAAGTCCCACTCTTTCAGAGCAACTGTGAGACAGAAAACCGAAAGCTGGACCGATGACTTTGGGCCGGTCACAATCTCTCAGTCCCATTCACCTCGCAGGGTTACTGTGGTAGAGACAACAGGAAGGGGGAAGGTACATTGGATATGTTCGCCAGGTTATTTGTAAAAATAAAAATAAAAATAAAAGTGGGATACAAATAAATAATAAATAAAAAGAGGCCATAATGGCCCTGTTTCTTCAGCACCATTCCTCGCCCCTGAAGTACATTGCAGGCAGAGGTTTTTGGTCCAGAGGGGATACTAAGAACTAAGATAGAACGATGAGCGAAAGTCTCCTTTGGGCATGGCAGCTTCCTTGAATTTGATGAACTGCCTCTTCAAGTTTTGATTTCCTGATATTTAATTTTACACGTGATAAATGGCAGCAAGAATTGTGTTGTGCAACAATGGAAAATTGAGGAGATCCCTACAGAGGAAAGTGTTATAAAAAAATATTAGAACGTGCTGAGATGGGTAGATTAACACTTAAAAGAAAAGAAAAGGAAGAAACAATAATTTTTAACATGGGACTTATTTTACCAATGGCTAACTAACAGAAACAGAGGTTAGAAACTAAAAAGAATAAAAAGATAATTAAAATATTTGTATTGAAATTTTTTCAAGATGGATAAACTAATTGTATTATTACATTTTGATTAATATTGATATGTTTATTATGATTACTATTATGATTATTGCTGTATCTCTACTCAAAACTAACTGTGCCCAGACTACACGCTGTTCAGACAGATATGGAATTTTTGTTTATTAAAGAAAATGTATCAATAATACATTTTAAAAGAGTTCTGATTTTGGTTTCTCAGGAAGTGAATTCTGAATCCATGCGTCAGTCTGGGTGTGTACACAGGGGCTGTTCTGAAAAGGTTCTTAAATAAAACAATGGCGCTGTTGTTTAAATATTTACCACGCTCTTCTATGTGTTATTGTTTCTGTAGTTCATCAAAGCTGCCAAATGACTTGCTTGATTTACAGCCAGCTTTTCACCCAGGTGTGCATCCGATATGCTCTGCACCACAAGTGGGAGGGACCTGGGGAGGAGGTAAGAGATTTTGTTGTGATTATTATATAGCCACCCTTACTCTTGGTAAAAATTCACAATCCCTGCTGTATTTGGTTGATAAACGTTATTATTTTAATACTTCTAAACGTGTGGGTCACATATTTCTTTAAAGCCTTAGAATTTCATGGATCAGAAGAAGCTTTGTTTTGAATTTCCAGCACGATTATTGAATTGCTGTTTATTTTATTGGGCTGCTGTGTTGTATAAGTCTCCAGCATAATCGGCTGATTTGCCTCTGTTTTTTTGAGCAATATTTGCAAACATAGGTGGGATTTCAATAGCAGGACCAAATATATGGCTAATAAGAAAAGCAAAAGCAAACTAGCATCATGTCGGCTTATTTCCAGTCTCCAAACTGTGGGCTCTGGGTTCAGCTGTACTGGTGCTTTGGGAAGTGATAGATCTTATTTAGCCAGGATTAAGCAGAGATTTGAATATGTATGTAGGTATTTTAGATACCTAAATTTATAGATTAAAATTTGAGAAGGCGTCTGTCAGATTTGAATAAAACAATTTTAAAATAATTCAAGAGAATGGCATGTAGGATGGAAGTTAATGGATCACTCTTAAGGAAGTTACGCTTACTCATTACAATTCTATTCTAAGACATAAAAGGGTTATTGGTATCTTCCTTCACCCCTCTTTCCCATCACCATTTCCCAGTAATGACCAGTCTTCATTTTTGCATCAAACCAGAGGGAGTAGGGCTTGAACTGTCGAGTTGATTTAACAAGAGTAATAAGTAAGTTTCAGTCTATGTATAGAAAAAAGATTATTTGTAGAAACAAGTATGATAAAAACAGGAAAGTTCCCTATACTATATAAAGGTTGATCCTTTCAAAATCCAATTTTAGGATTATTTCAGCTACACAGTCTATAATTCGTGAAACCATTTGATGTAAACATATTACGTCCCATATTTATTTATTTGTTGCATTTGCCTTTCCATCAGGAACTCAAAGTGACATTCATACTGCTTCCCAGCTAGTAAAGGAATTAGATGTAGCTCTTCCACAGTGCTTTTCCAGAAAAATCTTCAGTTTTGCCTCATTAAATATGCAGTCAAAAGACTAAGCTATTGTAAAAAAAAACAAAACAGAATTCTCTGCAAGAATAAAATCTTGAACATGAACTTGATATTGTAGCTTACCACAATTTTAAGAATTAAAAACTGTAAACATCACGATTCTGTATTACATTTGCTGCTTTGCTATTCGAATGGAATCGTGGAAGGTCGAGAGAATATTAAAAGCTCCTTACATTAGCATTTCATTTCCTCTTTAATCTATCTTCCCCCCCACCCCCAATAACAATTCAGTTCTTTATCCTGCTCGCTTTTTCTATCTGATCTGCCTTTCCCGTTGCAATGAAATTGCTGTGTGCTTTCTTTTAAGCTGTAGTGTATCATATGGTATGAATCAGAGTAACCCTGTTTCAGTTGGTAGCTGTTCATTGAGAGGGAAGGGGGCTGAAGCAAAATCCACCCCCCCCTTTTAAAGCAACACCCTGTCTAAAATTGTTAAGTACATGGATGAAAATCTGTACGAAGGCCATAATTATAGTTCCGATGGTTTTCCTGGGGAAAATGATAAGCCACAGTAAGGTTTTTACTCAATCTGTCATTTGATACACATGTTCAGCTTTGTCTTCTATCACCTACCCCATAATGCTGAGCTGAAATGGACCTAGGATTATACTCACTGAGAATTATGGAAGTTGAAGTCTAACTCACCTGGAGAACAAAAATTTGGGGAAAGCTGTGTAGCCTTTTGGGGGAGGGGAAGCTGCTTTTGGCCTTGAAGCAGCGTGTTGAAGTAATGGAGAAGCTCTGGATGAAAATAGGTTTTATTTCAATTAGTGTTAAAATTGGTTAAATGCATTTGTTAGGATCATTCCCCTTTTTCTCTTTCTATGATGCTGAAAGTATCATTCAAAATGAAACTCTGGGGTCCTGAGCCTTATTTTGGAAGAGGCACAGGCAGCTTCGGAGTTCATTTCTGCTCTGAGATTGGGATTGGAACCTGAACCAAAGGTGCTTTTTTCAAGAGGCAACTGGACTTTCTTTGCTTTTCCTTGAAGATGTTTCCCTTCTCATCCAAGCAGCGTCTTCAGTTCTGACTTGTGAATAGAGTTAGATTGAGTCAGAACTGAAGACGCTTCTTGGATGAGAAGGGAAACATTTTCAAGGAAAAGCAAAGAAAGTCCAGTTGCCTCTTGAAAAAAGCACTTTAGGAACAAACATGACCTGTATGAAGTTAGAAATATTTGCTAGAGGGCATTAAGGTTATGTTTGCAATTTCATTCATAGAGAAGAAAGCTAAAAGACCACCAACCACCACCCCACTCCCCACCACCACCAACTTGAGGCTTTGTTTTGTGCTACCTGCATTTAGTCTCCATATTGATCTGAGAAAACTCCTGTCTAACCTTTAAAAAGACTAGAAAAAGGCTTTCAATTTTTACAGGTGCTTATTCTGCTTTGATTTTTTTTTAATAAGCCTTTATAAGCCAACAGTATAAAATAAGAAATATTACTGTATACTGTGAGCCACTCAGAATGTTAGGAAATGGGGCACAAAAATCATTGAACAAATAAATTAGCTCTACGGAATTCATATTCAAAACCCTTACGGATCGGAATGAGCTCCTGGTTTACTTGCCTCTGATCTCAAAATAGTATATCGGGGTTCTCTGATAGTTGCTATATAAGGCCATGATGGCGAACCTATGCCACACACGCCGGAAGTCGCATGCTGAACCATCTCTCCAGGCACGCCAGCTGTTGCTGCATATGCACTCTGGCCAGCTGGCCTTTGCGCATGAGGGAGCGCCGGAAACTGGAGAGCAGCTCCCCGGCACGTATGCGTGTGCTGATCAACTGATCTTCACACCTGCATGCATGTTAGGAACCAGAAGACCAGGTGGCTTGCGCACATGCACACGCTGGTAAGCCAACCTTCCGGTTTTTGGCATTCCCGCATTAGGGAGTTCTTCTGGTTTACATGTACACGCGCTCCTGTTTCGGCACTCGGTGCCGAAAAGGTTAGCCACCACTGGTATAAGGTATTTGAAAGAGGTAATGTTGCAAACATGAGTGGTGATGGCCTGTGATGGAGAAAAACTTGGCATTTCAACCAGGGTGTCTTCTAACAGCAGCTAAGAAGAATATTTCATAGGGTTCATAAAATGGGCCCTAATCTTTAGACTGATTTGTACTGTAATACATTTGTTAATCTTTAAGGAGATGCAAGACTCAAATCAGTGTGCTATTTGACAATAGAAGCTGGTTGTACAATAGACATTTTGAACGATGTCGGTACCATTGTACAGTTTCAAACAAAAGGTGCTTGTGTTGGACATACCAGTTCATTATTTAACACACTGATGTGGCAGTAGACAAAGATTATTTGCATGCACATATGGTAAAAGTCCAAAGTACAAATTGATTGCGGGACTTTCCTTCCAACATTGATGGGAGTACACATACCTTGAAGAGCTGGCATTTACTTTCCATTTATTGATTGACTGGTGATCCAGTCCAGTCAAGTCACTGTTGACTCTTACCGTAGAAACCACATACTGTAGATAAATTGAATTTCTTATTTCATTTTTGAAGCTCCTTGAGATTTGTTTAGGTATTAGTAAATTTCTAGGTTAAATAGATAACTGTATAAAAGGAAACTTCTGCTGTATTCTAGCTCAGCTTGGAGATAACATCTAGCCAGTCTCAAATCAGCTTTGACAAACCAAGTACGGTCAGACCTGATTCGTGCTTGAGTGGGAGACTGACAGGAATTCCCTAGGCTATAAACTAGACTGGAAAATTTGAAGAAGAAAAAAAATTCACAAAAAGAGCAGTGCAAATCACTTCAATGTTGTTGTCACGAAAATCACAAAAATATGTTCATGAAGTCATCAGGAGCTGAAGAGACCTGTATATACACTCAACAAATTAACTAATTTAGCTTGATCAGGATAGCTATTTTGATATGAAGACAAAAGACATGATTCAGAGTTCATGGGGTTATGAACACAGCATCCATTTGCAGCTCTTAAAATCATTTCCCAGAATTGCTAAACAGCGATGCTGGCTAGTCACGCAGTCTCCGGAAAAAAGCAGAGCTGTTTTTTCTGTTTGAAAGTATCTACAAAATAGCAAACTTGTTAAGATGTTGATTTCCAAAAGAAATTGTTTTCCTTTTAATAGACTATGCTTGTATGGGTAGTCCTCGACTTAACGACCACAATGGAACCCAGAATTGATGTCGCTAAGTGAGAAATTTGTTACGTGAAGTTTCCCTCCATGTTACGACTTTCCTTGCCACGTTTGTTAAATGAATCACTGCAGTTGTTAAGTTAGTCACATGGTTGTTAAGTGAATCTGGCTTCCTCATTAACTTTGCTTGTCGGATGGTCACAAAAGGGGATCACATGACCCCAGGACAACCATCATAAATACGAACCAGCTTGTCAAGCATCCAAAGGTCAATCGCCTGACCGTGGAGATGCCGCAGCGGTCATAAGTGTGAAAATGGTCATACGTCACTTTTTCCCATGCTGTTGTAACTTAGAACAGTCATTTAACGAACTGTTGTGTAAGTCGAGGACTACCTATATAGTACCCTGTGTTTTGATTAATATGAATGCACATACCATCTCCTTGTAAGTGTAATTAGTAGCTCTTTTTTTTAGCTAAGGATAGTATGCAAACCACTGAACGGTCACATCTTCTATTAGCCAGTATTCGCAACTCATAATTGTAGCTTAGCATTCCACTTAACTAGACATAGCAACCATTCTGCCCCTTATAAAAGGGTTGCTGATTTTTATTCGAGCCATGAAGTAGAACGAGGATGAAAACTTATTGCATGCAATAGCCCAGGCTAATTTAAATCTATCAAATGTGCCCCATGTATGATCTTGGATGCAAAGTGAGAACCGTCAACAATTAAGTCGTATTCTTCTTATGTTCTTCCTGGATACTAACGCACCACTAATTTGGTTCCCCTTCCTTTTCCTTCTTGCTCCACCTGGACTGTGGCAGATCCTTTTGCGTCCACTCCCGATGCCGTCGACGATGCCATTCCAAACTTAAATCCTTTCCTCACCAAATCTAGCGATCACCTCTCTGTCTCCTCTGATGTACTCTCTTCTTTCACTTCTAGGACGCCAACTCATGAGATGTTTGTTGGTAAAGTACTGGGCTGGCTAGCTAGCCGGCTTTTCTTTTTCTCCGACGGGTCTGGTCAATCTTAAACAAATCTGAGGTTTTTCAGTGGGAGGAGTGGGGGGAAGAGTCCATTTCTGAACATCTTTCTTAATATTTGCTAGCGATTTAATTTTGGGGGGTCTCCAAACCAGGCGCATTTCTACTCCCAGAATTCCTCCGCTGACTGGCTGAGGACTTCCAGGAGTTCAAGTTCACCAGTCTTAAAAGTTGCCAAATTGAGAGACCCCCCGATTTAGTTTACCCACAGGTAGTCCTCGACTTATGACCACAATTGGGACCGGAATTTTGGTCGCTAAGCAATATGTTCCTTAGGCAAAGGCATCACTTGCCCAGAATGACTTGATGAGCCGTTTTTGCCATGGTGGTTAAGTGAATCACATGGTGGTTCAGTGAATCCCACTGTCGTTAAGCCAGATCCAGCTTCCCCAATTGACTTCGCTTACCAATAATCCAGTGGCGGATTGTGATCACGTGACCTCAAGATGCAGCAACCATCTTGGCAAGCACCAGAATGGCAATCACATGGCCAAGTGTCATAACAGTGTAACTTTGAACAATTGTTAACAAAGACTTGTAAGCTGAGGACTACCTGTATGATCAAATTTTCGAAGACGAGTGAGTGATGGGAGGGGGTTACGTTACATTCCTTTCCATCTACCCATCTGTCTTCTCTCTGTTTGACTCAATATCGGTTAGTTTTTCTCATTGATTTTCCTCTCTGGAAGATGTTAAGCTTTGTTTCAGTCAATCATTAATATTGTGGTGCCAGAAACCCAAATGGCCCTACCATAGGGAGCGTCCCAGTGGTCTTTACCAGTTCATATCCTACTCCACTATGAGTTTTCATGGATGCCCTTAATCTTTTTGTCACTTTGGTCTGTAAGATATGGGAGGTGCAGTGCTATCTGATCTGAGAAACGTAACCGCTAAATCTTTTGTGCCCAAACCTGTGACTTTAACTTTTGTGGTTATCTCCATGACTTCAGTCTGTTTTTTTGTTTTTGTTTTTTAAATCTTACTCCCTGGAAACACCCATATAATCATCCACTACAGATAGTCCTCGGCTTAAGATCACAATTGAGCCCCAAATTTTTGTTGTTAAGTCAGACATTTGTTAAGTGAGGTTTGCCCCATTTTACGACCTTTCTTGCCACAGTTGGTAAGTTAGTAACTCGGTTGCTAAATGAATCTGGCTTCCCCCGTTGACTTTTCTCATTGCCAAGCATCTGAATTTTATGGGGATGCTGCAAAGGCAGTAACTGTGAAAAACTGTGGTAAGTCACATTTTTCAGTGCGTGAACCGTCACTAAACAAGCGATTATAGGTCGAGGACTACTTGTAATCAGCTCTCCCACTTTACTTTTTCCCACTTTTGAGATATAAAATGTAACATTTAACCTTCTTGTCTTTGTATAGAATAAAACCTTTAATATTTAAGAAAATCCTAAGTCGTGTTTCTCTCTACGTTGGATGTCATGTAGTTACAGTCTTAACTTGGTGTCTGAATGTTTGGTTAACCATATAATAGTGTGCACTGTTTTTTTTTTTTAATTTTCTTTTTCCATAACATTCCTTTTTTGCTCTTCTGCTTCACATGCTTCTATCAGCTTATCCTAATGCTTCCCATTTCTGCAGCGAACCCTCAACTGTAGCTGGTCTATTTGGAGGTAGGTTAAAAAAAAATTAGAGAACGGAGTTTTTGTCCCTTGTGCAGAAGGAGGAATATAGCTGTATCAGTTTCAGAATTCTTACGTTTTTAAACCACCTGCTGAATAAATTCTGAGTTCTAGTCCTGCCTTATGCACAAAGCCAGCTGGATAACCTTGGACCAGTCACTCTCTCTCAGCCCTAGGAAGGAGGCAATGGCAAATCACTTCTGAAATCTTGTCACACTGCAGGGATAAGTTCAAACAGTTGCCCAGAATCAACACTGACTCAAAAGACATTTTTAAAAAGGAAAAAAAAATGTTGATATTCTTCGAACATCAAAGGGCTTTTTCATTCCCTCTTTTGAAAAGCAATAAATTGTTGTCCAAAACATTATAAATACCAGTTATGCCTATTAGTTTCCGCTGTTGTTCAGTCATAAATCATAATGGTATATCTTCTGGTGATGTCCTAAAGGTGCTTTTCTAAAAGACAACTTGGACTTTCTTTCTTTTGCTTGAAGACGTTTCGCTTCTCATCCAAGAACTAAAGAAGCTTCTTGGACAAGAAGTGAAATGTCTTCAAGCAAAACAAAGTCCAAGTTGTCTTTTGAAAAAAAACACCCTTGGGACAACCATGACTTGCATGACTGAGAATCTCCATAGATATTATTCTGGTGATGGTTTTCCTAAATAAGCCCACTGCCTTTATAAATTTGATTTATTTTATGTCCTTGAGATAAAAGTTCAGCATGTATAAAAAGCACGTTGGTTGGTGTTTTCTTAAATAGGAAAACTGACATGCAGATGATATCAGTTTTGGTTTTATAGCAGTTTTAAAATGGAGAATGGAGAATAGAATACTTTATTGGCCAAGTATGATTGGACAGACAAGGAAGTTGGCTTGGTGTAAATACTCTCAGTATACATAAAAGAAAAGGTACTTTCGTTAAGAATCAAGAATCATAACGCACAACACTTACTGACAGTCATAGGGTACAATCAACAATCAAATCATACTAGGAAACAGTCAAGTGGGAGGGAATGGGTGATAAGGAGAAGATTAACAGTAATAGTAGTGTACACTTTGTAAATAGTTGAGCAGTGTTGAGGGAATTATTTGTTTAGATGGTGGAGTGGTGGTTTTCGGGGGAAAAACTGTTCTTGTGTCTAGTTGTTCTGGTGTGCAGGGCTCTAAGTCTGTACTATTTAAGTAACTCTAGGCATGCTGTGGAAAAGTCTGGTGGTGGTGTTTTTTTCAGACTGGTGCTAGTTGTGTTAGAAGCTGCTTAGTACAATATCATTATCCCACTTGGAATAAAGTACATATAGTTACGTTTTGAGTTGTTATCAGCCCTGTGATGACATATGGATCACACGGTTATGTGAAAAAGTATTCTTCCTTTGGATTTTTGGATTGTTTTCTGGCCTAAACCTCTTAAAAACACAACAAGACCAAAAACGAGCAGTTCGTGCTAGTAAACCTCAGTTAAGGCTGTGAAATAATTTGCCATGCAGGAAGGGACCAGAATTCGTTCAGAGCCCCATCACAGATTAATCACCAGTTACAGAAAGCATTGGTTGCAATTATTATAGCTAGAGGTGGTAAATTACTAGAATTTCTGAATCTAAGGGGGTGATGACTTCCTATCATTCAGCAATGGTGTTACATGTTCTGTTGGATTCTCCTACTATGTTTTAGTAACACAAGGACTAGTAATGTGAAGTTTAACGTTCCATACAAAGATGTGGAAAAATTAGGAGAATTTAAAATGGAGTAAATGTGTTCTTTCCCTCCCCCACCCCACCCCCAGAAGTGTGTCAGGAATATAAGATCCACTTTAATCAGCTCAACATTTCATCTTGTTCATCCTGGGTTTGCTGGAGACGCCCTTCGTTATTTTGTTTATAGAATCTTAGTCAACATCCTTTTACAGCTAACTACCGTTTCTGACTAACAGCAAGCAAATGGTGTCTTGATAAGCAAATAACTGGGAATATCAATCAGTCTTTATTATGGTCATAAACCAGCAATAATGGGATGAGTTACAGTCATATAAAAGAAGCATCAAATGCACGCCAGACGTCAAAAGTGAAATATCTGAAAAGAGTTATAAAATGCACATCTACACACAAAGAGAGTATAAAAGGCATAAGGTAAGGCTCCAAAATGGTATTGGGAGCCTTAGATGGCTATAGGGGAGGCAAAAGACTTAATATGAGGAAATCTGTTGGGTTACAAAGCACCCCGACATGATACATTTGGTGCCCATTGGCTTAAATTTATAATGTGGGCTACTACAAAGAAGAGGAGGTCAAGCTACTCTCCAAAGCACCTGAAGGCAGGACAAGAATCAACGGATGGAAACTAATCAAGGAGAGAAGCAACATAGAACTAAGGAGAAATTTCCTGACAGTTAGAACAATTAACCAGTGGAACAGCTTGCTGCCTCCAGAAGCTGTGGATGCTCCAACACTGGCGGTTTTTAAGAAGAGATTGGACAACCTTCGTCTGAAATGGTATAAGGTTTTCTGCTCAAGCAGGGGGTTGGACTAGAAGACCTCCAAGGTTTCCAACTCTGTTACTTTGTGATCCTGATCGCTAACATACACCAGAATTCATTATCTGAATTTTGATAAGTGCTGTACAGTTTATCTCCAATTGTAATGTGGTGTAAGAAACCCAGTTAGGAACCTGAAGCTCTTCTATGATTGGGGGTAGAAGAGTAAAAAAAAAAATTTTCAACAGAGCCAAACCTTTAGATAGAATTGAAACTGATTGGCTAATTAAGTTAAGGAAATATTTGGAAGAAAGATTCCGATCTTTATTTTTTTTTCTGTTTACTGTGTTTGCTTTTTTGTCTGATTGGTCTTCCTAAAAAATAACAAGCTGTCATGTTTTAGTTCAGAAACTTGCAATAAAATTCTGAAATCATGATATGTTTTTCCGAAGTTAGTTTACTTTATTGTCATTGCACCTCGTACAATGAAATCAAAAACCATCTTCAGTGCACATCATGACCATGAAAATAAACACAAACACACTTCCTTCACCCTCCACACATTGAATTGAAAACCCCTGCACCACACCAACACTGCACTATACAGTAGAATTCAACAGAGCTACTGTCCTGGGATAGAAGCTGTTCTTCAGTCTATTTGTCCTTGTTTTTATTATCCTGTACCATCTGCCAGGTGGTAATAGATCAAAAAAAGGGTGCCCAGGATGAGATGGATCTTTGAGAATGTTTTGAGCTTTCTTAAGGCAGCGGGAGCTATAAAACTCTTCCAAAGAGGGGAGAGGGCAACCCATGATCTTCTGGGCAATGATGTTAACCCTCTGGAGTGCTGTCCTATCTGCCACTGTGCAATTGGCAAACCATACAGAAGTGCAGTAAGTTAAGATACTCTCTATGGTGCAGTGGTAGAAGATCACCAGCAGTTTCCCATTCAGTGGTTGTTTTCTGAGAAGTCTCAGGTAGTATAATCTCTGCTGGGCCCTTTTGACCAGGGCTGCAATGTGGGCACCCCAGTTCAGGTCCTCTTTTAGGGTAACACCCAGAAACTTAAAAGTGGCCACTTGCTCCACTCGGTCTCCATTGATAAGCAAGGGCCGGATGTCTGATCTGGTCCTTCTATAATCCACTATAAGCTCCTTGGTCTTATTGGTGTTGAGAACCAAGTTATTGTCTCCACCACCATGAAAACAACCAGTCCACTTCATCCCAGTAGGCAGATTCATCCCCCCACCCCGACCCCCGGAGATGAGTCCCACCACTCATAGATGGAATACAATAGAGGTTCTATTTCCTGAATGTATTGCTATGTTTTTCATTTGATGACTTAAGATTTCGGATCAAGCATTTGCCTTTTTGACATTTTGCCACTCTGCGGCATCCTATTACGACTATAAATAACTATCCATCTATCTCATTTTCTAACCAAAAAAGTGTCACCTTGTCAGACTTCATTTTCAAATAAAATAATTGTGTGTAAAGTTTTAGTGCTTGTATGCCATTTCCAGGCCTACAAAAATAATAATACTTTTGAGGCGCTTGAATTCAACTAACCAATTATACAATACAATACAAGCTGTATGTTTCCATGCTGGAATTGTATTTTCTTCTCTGCTTTCTTGCTCTGCTATTTCTAATACCACGTTTATTGTTGTCACTATTGCAAAATTAATATCAGCAAACTGATCGCTCCTGTATTTCACATTATGGTCCCTCTTGATTTAGTCCTGGTGCTGAAATATCAGTAGATTCGGCATACAAAAAGTGGCATAGCTATTTCTTTAAAAATTGGTCCCTATTCCCAACCATTTTGCGGGGGTGGTTGTTGTTGTAAGAGGCTTAATAAAAGGCAAGTCATAAAATATATGGATATCTGTGGAACACGTAGCATGACTGCTTGATGGAAACGGAGTGTAAAACATGCTTGGCTTCTATGGCTGACAAATATTTGTGGGAACTTAATTTAAAAACCCAAGGTTGAGGTAAATATAATGTAGGTTCTAAATGCCATTTAAATGCTTGTGATTCAAATACAGGAATCTTTATGAATTGGTCAACGGTAGAAATAAGTCAGGAATACTATTCGGAGGAATTCTTAAAAACTGTTTTACAAGTTGTGAATTGAAATAGAAAATTACAATGACACCAGCTCCATAGTAATGCTAAAATTATTTAAAATACATAAAAGTATATTTTAGTATGACATTATAGGCAGGCAGATATGGAAGGGAGGGGGGAAAGGAAGGAAGGGAGATTACCTCAGGTCATCTTGTTTAGGGAATACGTGTCAAATAATAAATAATATATTCCTTCTGTACTTTTCTAGATACGAAAAATGGCTCATGCAGTATTTTCATTTACTTTTGCTGTCAAGCTGAAGTTGAATGGCCATCTGTTAAAAATATTTTGATTTATATTTCTGAAATGGGCAAAGTGTTGTCTCAGTGAACTCTAGGACTGCTTCCAGTTCTATGATTTTTCTGAATTTTTCACTGTTTGAATCATGGAACTTTCCTCCAGTTTTTGATTTGTCATTCAGTGTTTGAATTTTCTTGGTCATCACAATAATTTAGGGCAATATTTCTTGTCTTCAAACAGAGTTTATGTATACTGCATATAAGTAATTTTCCCCATTTTTGTTGGCAGGGTTTACATCATCTCCTGTTGCCCCATCGCAGCCATCAGCCGGCCTTAATGTGGACTTTGAGTCTGTGTTTGGAAACAAAAGTTCAAATGCATTAGTGGATTCTGGTGGTAAGTCTTTCAAGTAGCCCTTATTTAACCCTGTTGTGATAAAGGAGAATATTTTTAGATCAGGGTTAAAAAGAAGGGGTTCTTGGTGCTTTCTGAGCGGGATTGTTTTCTTGCAGATGTTTCATTACCCAACTAGATAACATCATCAGTGCAATGATATACAATGAAACGTCTGCAAGAAAACAACCCACCTCAGAGAGGATCAAAGGCCCCTTAATCCTGTTCAGAGAGTAAAGAAAAATGGCACACAAATGCATGAAGATCTCCGAGTTTTCCTAAAAGGAGCCTGTTAAATGCCATGTTTCCCAAGGATGAACAGACTGAGTTTCATCTCATGAAATCTATGAATTCTCTCACCCTCGGTGAAGTGATTTTTGTTGTTGTTCACCAAGGTTAATTCTGGAAGAGCTTGCAAGTTATAATCAGCTTTTTCAGATGTAAGATTCCTTTTACTCCTGTTTCGGTTTTGACCCCAGAATTTCTGGAATGGTCAAACTTTATTTTACAGAAGAAAGATGGCAATATTTTAGTTTTCTTTTTATCCCCCTTTGAAGCATAGAAGCAGAACTCCTAAAGTGTTTTTAGCTGTACAGGTAGTCCTCGACTTACAGCAGTTCAGTTAGTGATCTTTCGAAGTTACAACAGCACTAAAAAAGTGACTTTATGATGATTTTTCACACTTAACAACCATTGTGGCATCCCCCATGCTCACATGATCAAAATTCAGATTCTTGGCAACTGCCTCGTATTTACGGCGGTTACAGTATCCTGGAGACATGTGATCACCTATTGCAGCTTTCTGAAAAGCAATGTCATTGGGGAGCTCAAATCACTTAACCCTATGACTAACTTCAGTGATTCACTTAACAAATGTGGCAAAAAATGGGTTGTAGAATGGACAAAATTCACGTAACAAATGTCTCATTTCGCAACAAAAATGTGGGGCTCAGTTGTGGGCACAAGTCGAGGACGATCTGTATTATGCTAAGATATTAAAATAACCTATGTGTTGATATCTGATTCAATAACTGAAAAAGTTTATGTGTTGTTTTTAAGGCTTTGATGAATTAGGTGGACTCCTAAAACCAACAGTGGCTTTTCAGAACCAGAATCTTCCAACTTGCAAAGCGCCACCCAATAAGTTAGTATTAGATGACTTGGATTCATCTCTAGCCAACCTCGTAGGCAGTAAGTATTTGTACGGGTCTTATATATGAAAATCAAAAATTTAAAAGAAATGAACTTGTTTCCTAACCGTTTTCTTGTTTTGTTTACAGATTTGGGCATTGGAAATGGGACAGCAAAAAAGTGAGTTTTTTAAATAGTTTTTTCTTCTTCTAAATATATGTTCACAGGAGCTTTACATGACTTACCAGATTCAAATTTTAATGGTGTGGATAAGGACGGTGTTGCTGATTGAGAGAGTGCTCTAAATGAGCCAGCTGTGACTGAACAACCAATATTTAGCATTTTCCATCTACCCCAATAATATCCATGCTGGAGGTGGCTACTGGACTAATGGCAGACTTCACTTCCCCCAGTTGTTCTCTGCTCTCTACCCACCCACCCCTATATAGGCAGTCCTTAACTTAATTGAGCCACAAATTTATGTTGCTAACTGAAACAATTAAGTGAGTTTTGCCCCATTTTACAAACTTTCTTGCCACAGTTGTTAAGTGAATCACTGCCGTTAAGTTAGCAACAAAGATGTAAAGTGAAACTGGCTTTGCGTGTCAGAAGGTCTCAAAAGCTGCTTCACATGATCCCAGGACACTCCCAACCGTCGTAAATATGAACCAGTTGCCAAGCACCCAAATTTTGATCACTTGACTACGGGGAGGGTGCAGATCATAAGTCTCTTTTTTCCAGTGCCATTGTAACTTTGAACAGTCACTAAATGAATGGTTGTAAGTCAAGGACAACCTGTAGAGATGGAGGATGCAAAACCTCATGCTTTGCGGGGTGTTTTTTAACATGAGTACTTGTGAGTGTTAATACTTTGAACATTTATTTATAGTGATGTAAACTGGACCCAGCCAGGAGAAAAGAAACTAACAGGCGGTTCCAACTGGCAACCTAAAATTGCACCCACCACTGCTTGGAATGCTCCAACCATGGTAAGCAGTTATCATAGGGCAGGGGTCCCAATCCCTGGGCTGCAACCCCCTACTGGGCCATGGCCTATTTGAAATTCAGCTGTGCAACTTGCAGGCCGGTGCACAAGCATGTGTGCACAGCTTGACTTGTGTGAACATTGGGCCGATGCACGTGCACCCACGTGTGCAACTCAACTTCAGCAAGTAGCAGTGTGCGCTGGCCCGCCGCTTATGCAGCCCAGTTCCCCTCCCCGCGCTCCAGCCAGGCCACCAAGCCGCAAAGGTTAGGGCCAACAGTCACGTGGGACTTCATAAATCCAGCGGCTTAGGTTGCATCATGGGTAGATAAGGTACCATCAAGAATTCTAGTATGTGTTCTAGAAAGCCTGGATATCCAATATTCTCTTTTGGATTAGATTCAAATCACTTCATAGTGGCTGATAAAATACCCAATTTGAGGTTAACATCAGCCATAGTCTTAAAAGGTGCAACATTCAATATCTTTTGTTTAAAAAGCTGGAGGAGGTGACTCGTGACTTTCTTGTGGAAAGTTGGCAGGGAAGGTCACAAATCACAATCGTATGGCTGTGGGATGCTGTGACAGTCAGAAATGCAGGCCAGGATCACAATCACACTACCATGGGATTGTTGCAATGGCTGGTTGTAAGTACCACTGTCATAAATTCAAACGCTGGCTGAAAGAGTGGCCATTAAGCAAGAACCAGTTGTATCTGAATATTCTTCAGGCAGTTTTTGTTCTAAGAATACAATATACAGTATCTAATGAGTAGAACAAGGAAAGAGGAGTCAGAAAAACACAAGGCATCAGAGAATCATGAAAGAACTCTGTAAGAGCAAGCCATCATCCTACTTCTGTTTCAGTATGAAGGCCTAACTAAAAAACCTTCCAGGCATGTTTTGCTTAAAAAAAAAAATGAAACTGTGGTTTGGGGAAACCTCCCCTTCTTAAACCTATCTGTTTCCCTTGACCTCCCCAACTCTTGGTCAAGAAATATTTCTAAACCATTTCAGAAAGAGAAATTTAGCTGTGGAAGCAGTCGTGATGTGCCCCTTCCAACTTCTCTGGGTCAGGATCCAGTTTTTGTAGGACTTAATATGACAAAAGAAATCCTTGTAATCATCACATTTAGCGCTGCCCTAACTTTTCATACCTGAATAAAGACTGAGGCTTCCAAATAAATTACACAATAACTTTAAATTTAAAACCCAGTCTTTTTTTTTAAAAAAAACAACCCAATATTCTTATAGATCACCAATATATGGAATGGCAATTTCGAAATAGGTTTCTAGGTAGCATGGTGTAATCTGAGGAGATTTAGGCTTTGGGTTATACCATACACAGCGTTTTGAGTTTTCGTGATCTGTTGGGATCGGAAAAAGCAGTGTTCTGTTTTAATCTTCTGCTTTAGCACTGTGTTGTCTCATTTTCTCCTCAGTCTTTTGTCACAAATTACTGGAGTCCAGTGTGTTAAGAAATACATGAAATGTGACAGACTTGCCTAGAGTAGATTACATTATATGTTTTGTCACAGACTTATCAAATCTTAATTTTCTTTGTCACTCAACGTCTTACTGGTTTACAAGAATGTGTCATCAGAGTCGTTAAGCACACTTGTAACCAAAATGCTTTTGTGTATATTCTGTTGTGTAAGCAATCATTTCTAATCCAGTGTTATTGCATTGTGTAACTGTTCTTCCGGGGGAAAAACAGAATGGCATGCATTTTCCACAATACGTAAGTGAACAAAACCTGCAGCCTCTTTTTTTTTTCCCTTTTTTTTTTGTGCAATCAGATTGGCATGCTGATATTAATCACTACAGCCAAATCTCATAATCCCGCTAATCCACACTTCTGGGCATGATGGAAATTTCGAGCAGTTTCTAATCCGCCCAGATTTTAAGGGCACCCTTTTGAAGCCAAGAACGGCATGAAGAAATGTTCACAATTATTTTCCTGCTTTTGCTGCCCAATTACTGGCGTGCTGCATCTGCCTTGCCTTTTTTAAATATGCATTTGAATTCGAATAAATGAAATGGAAAAAAAATGGTGTTTGTGCATTCAAATAATTGCATGGAACCTCACAAGCTTCTTTCCACTCCCACTTACCATAGAGTTGATTTCAAAGAGGGAGAGACCAATATGTTCTAAAACAAACAGGTTTCCAAACTTGGCAACTTTTAAGTCTTCTGGACTTCAACTCTATGCCGACTGGAGAATTCTGGGAGTTGAAATCCGCAAGTCTTAAAGTTGCTAAGTTTGGGGACCTCTGTTCTAAAATATCACTGAATGGGGTGATATTTCCCGTGCTGGGTCAATTGATTAAAATAATGTCTGAACTGCAGTGCTATCTCATTCCACTCAAAAAACATAATTTTTTTTTTAAAAAAACCCACAAATGGCCTATCTAGTTGTTCATAAGTATCGATAAGAGCTAAAGAATAAAGTCTCTATATACTTTTATACTGTAAATCCCTGCAGGTAGTCCTCGACTTACGACCACAATTGCACCCAAAATTTCGGTTGCTAAGTGAGTTTTGCCCCCCCTTTTGCAACCTTTCTTGCCACAGTTGTTCAGTGAATCACTGCAGTTGTTAAGTTAGTAACACAGTTGTTAAGCAAATCTGGCTTCCCCATCGACTTTGCTTGTCCGAAGGTCATGAAAGCACATCACATGACCCTGGGACCCTGCAACTGTCATAAATACATGTCAGTTGCCAAGCACACGAATTTATTTGATCCTGTGACTGTGGGGATGCTGCAACAGTTGTACGTGTACAAAAATGCTTATAGGTCCCCTTTTTTCGATGCCGTTTTGAACAGTCACTAAACAAATGGTTGTAAGTTGAGCACTACCTGTTTTTGAGGTAAGTTTAACTGAGAGAAGTTTTTAACCTTTAGATTATCTTTCTGGTTTGTTCAATCTGCTCTATATATGACGCTTACGACTGAATTTCCATACATCAAAAATCATAGTAACTTTAATTCTTCAGCTCTTTCTTTTGAAATATCCTACTTCAGCCCGTTCGGTTTTACTTCCCATATCATTATTGGTCTTTCCCTATAATCTTTTCATGGAGAAGAAAATCTTAGACCACCTTAAACAGTTAAAAAAATGAGCAAACCTATGGCCATGTATACGCATATATACAGTGATGGGCTTCTACCGGTTTCACAACTGGTTCAATGAGCGCGCACTTTGCGCGCAGAACATTACAAAACCACCATTTTATAGCTTTGCTACTTCCTGCAATTCTGGTGAATACAACAGCTGAGGCGCGGTAATCCGCTGTGCTGTGCCTCAGCCGAGCTTCAAAACTGCCGAAATAAAGGACAGACTAAGGCAGGGGTGGGTTGGCAGGAGACAACCGATTGCCAGAGCTAAGGGTTCTCCCGAACCCACGCAAACCCTAGGCAGCCCACCCCTGCATATGTACCATCTTTTGCTATGTTAATATTAATCGCTGCCATTTCATCAATCATAGTAAACAATAGCCAATTGGATCCCATTGTCCTGCGTAACAGTGTAGTCCATAGGAAAAACAGTGTGGCTTTCCTTCATTCACTTCTATCTTTTTAGAAAATCTTTTTCAGACAGTTGGATTTCTTATAAAACAATGGGTATGACATTGCATAGCAGGATGAGTCTAGTGCCTATACCACACACGTGTTTTTCTGCTTGCCATTTTATGGAGCAATTGGCCTCTTCCTAGGATTTTTGCATGAAAGATCATTAAAGTTCATTGAGCAAAAATTGCATTATTATTATTATTAATTGATTATTGCTGATCAGAAGGAGGAAGAAGTGACATACGTTAAGTTACTCGTAAGCACAATTGCTTGCAAAGATATAGATATAGATCAGTGGGGATATGCTACCGGTTCGGCTCAGTTCTGGCCAAGCCAGTAGCGGCGATGCGCAGCAGAGACCGAACCGATTCTCCACCGCTCTGCTGTTGGGCCCGCCCACCCGCCTGGGCTCTCATACTCACCTTTATCCTCTGAATTTGAAGCGCAGCTGCTTTGTGTGGCCCAGGAGAGTGCTGTGCGGCAGCTGCTGAGGTGACAGGGAGAGTGGAGGCTTGCAGGAGGCAAGTGGGAACGCCTCTGCGCCTGCGCAAAGTGCGTGTTTGGTGCGGCCGTAGCAGATGTCACAAAATTAATATAAAATTAAGGATATTCTTGCCTAAGTTGTGTAGGTTAAAAATGCTAAAAAAAAAACACCATAAAGGAATACATCTTACAAAACACCTCGTCAATATTAACTGGCAGCGACGTGGAGAAAAAACTCAGAATATATGTATGCTGGCATATAGTTGTTGAACTGCGTGCAAATATCTAGCACGTTCCCAGTAATCTAATAATTGTCTGAAGTCCATCAAATTTGGAGTTCATTTTCATGAAGTTTTAGGGATTCATTGAGCTATTGTTAATGTTTTGGTAAACCTACTACCTAAAATTTAATGATTTAAGGTAGTTCGTTGGAGTTGCCAGCTCTCTGAGATCCCCATATTAACCTGGACCAGCTCTAACCTGTAGATACCTCAGGTATCTGCAACTATGCTTTAGTGCTTAAAGAGAGCAGCAGTCTGAAACTGCTCATTTTAATCAGTAATTGGTTATTCTAATAAATTATGTAGTTGCCAATTAGGCTTCAGCTGGTAATGGAGGTCATACAAGAGTATTGTCAGTTAAATAGTTCATTAATTGTGATAATTAACAGTTCTTTTATCTTGTCCCAGTTGAGAGGCTTTGGGGGCAGCGATCTCCCTTCAAAAAATATCAGAGCCATAGTTAATAACAAAAACATAAAATCAGCTCTGTCTTTGATCAAGGTACAAAAGAATCATTTGTTCTTTGGGGATTTATTTATTTATCCATTCATTCATCACGTTTATATGGTTTATGTTGCCGATCTCAAACGATTGTAGGTGTATATTCTTAAGATATACAGAACAATGGTTATCGTTTTAAAAAATGTAAAAACTTATAAAGCACAAGGCTAAAAAAAGAGAATAAAATAATGTTGTGCTTTTCCGATTAGGCACCCCCTGTCATGGCCTACCCCGCTACAACGCCAACAGGAATGATGGGATATGGAATGGTCAGTAAAGTTTGTATTTTAAGTCCTTTTGAGGAGCATTAATTCGTCAGACATCCCTTCCCAATACATTCATTATGCTTGTTTGTGTGTTTATGGGAGAAGACTGTTCCCAGATGAATCTGTTTGAATTCTGTCCCATTCTCTCTCCCTCCCCCTCTCCTCCCTTTTCTCTCCTCTTCTCTTCCCTCCCCCCTTTGTGATCTCAGTTTGCTAGGAAAATCACTCATGGTAAACTACTCTGAGCACATTAAGGTAGAAAAGTGGGAGACAAATTGTAACCCCAAAGAAATAATAGACTCTTTTGCTTCCAGTTTTCTAATACCTTCCAGATGTGCTGCAGAATTTGCACAAAAGTACAGTTAAAATTAGAGTTAACTTAAAACAGATGGGTGATGTAAGAAACATTAACAATCAGGCCCAGTTATTACAACTGAAATGAAAAGGGTGCTTTCTGAATAAGAATACCTTAAAATGATGCAAGAACAGATGTGGTGAAAGAATTTTGTATGTATCCTCTGGGCTGGAGCTTTTGTTGGGCTGGAGCCCACCTGGAACAAAAAGCAGACTCTCGTTGGCCATTTCTAAAAGCAGGGGTCTTTAAACTTGGCCACTTTTAAGACTCGTGGACTTCAACTCCCAGAATTCTTCACCCAGCATGAAGTCCATGAGTCTTAAAATGGTCAAGTTTGGAGTCCCCTGCCTAAAAGGACAGAGAGGTCATGTAGGGAAAATCCCTCCAGCAAAAATGACACTAAAGTATTTCCAGTGACTTCTTTGTGGTAGCTCTGATGGCTAACCCATCCTGCTATTTCATAAATGTTCTACTGTCTTGTTTACAGAAGATGATGGTTGAAAGCATACTCTTAATGGTTGTCATCATTAATTTCATAACATTAATTCTGTGCTATTCTGGATTTTTAGCCATCCCAAATGGGAGGAGTACCAGTAATGACACAGCCAACTTTAATATACAGCCAACCTGTCATGAGACCTCCAAATCCTTTTGGTCCTATATCAGGAGCACAGGTAGGTTTTAATTTGTACTCTGGAGCCCTGAAAGTACAAGGAAGGTCCTCTGTTGAGAATGAAATCAGTTAAAATAGTTTTAATTGTTAGTGGCAAGCAGATGTATCTGGTTCAGATGTTAAGCTAGTTTCACATCCAAGACAGCTTTCATTCTGAGCCAGATGGAATTGTCCAAATTGTTCATAGGAACAATTGTTCCTATTCCTTGTTCAAGGAATTATACACCAGAGGACTCCAAAAATCTGAGGTGTGAGTTCTTCAAAGGAAGTCCTACTGAAGCAAGTTTTGAGATGACAATCAAATTGGGTAATTCATCAGTGAATCCATAAATAAAAATAGTATTTTTTCTTCTGTCAGAGAAGTTGAAGCTGAGGAGGCGCCAGAAGAGTTACTAAAAAGACTGAATAATACATGTTTCCAGGGGGTGTATTAGAAGGAAAGTTACAAAGAAATGTGTTTCACTATCCAGATTAAATATAAGATTTCTACTTCTGAGGCTTAAAGTATTAAGCTGGTTTTGATGCCTACAGCATATTCTCATTGTACTGATGTCATTGCACACTTTGTTTTTTTTTTAATCTATAACAAAGGAAATGTTCCATTTTTGTTCTTCCCTTACATGAGAATTTGAAAATGTTCCCCTTGGATGCATTCTGAAATCAAGACAGTACTGAAGACTGTAATGTCTCTATGTCCACAAACTTGCTTTCTTAAGCAAGAGAATGATTTTATAAGATACAGATTCCGGTGCACATTGGGAGAGCTTGTGTCTATTTAGATCAGAGGTCTCCAAACTTGGCAACTTTAAGATTTGTGGACTTCAACTCCCAGAATTCCTCAGCTGGTTATGCTGGCTAAGGAATTCTGGGAGTTGAAGTCTACAAAACTTAAAGTTGCCAAGTTTGGAGACCTCTGCCTTAGGCTATCCAAAAAGCAAGCAAACAAACAAACAAAAAGATTTGAGGCCAGCAGTATTTTCACAGATAGGACATACTTTGAAGAGTTCAACCTTGAGTTATTCCTTCCCCTCTATCCCTAAATGGCACGGCAGCAGAAGAATTTGTAACCTGTGCCCTTTCTGAACGCTTGGATTGATCTTGGCCGTGTAGCTAAGAATGAGGAAATCAACTGTTGTCATTAGCAACCCACCCTCCGTGTAAGCATTCTCTGGGTTTGCCCCTGAATTAAACCATTTGTGGTTTAATTCGTTGCTCTTGGCTTGGCTTTACCGATGTCAGATTTATTAGAGTTTCTCGCTGAGGGAACAAAGGCTTGTTGTGAAGGCCTGTTTGCTAGCCAGGTGTCACCTCTGCTTGGCCTGCCTTAGCGTTTTGAAGGAATAGTTGTTCCTTTTGGGTCACCTGTTGGCGTTGGCAAGCCTTTTGTTAGTTAAGCTGCACGCACGGGCAAACACTTTACGTTACGTGAACTAAATACGTTAACCACAGCAACTGGAGTGAATGAGCCTGGACTTTCACCGTTTGCCATGGATCTGAAAGGGACCCATTCATGGCATGTCCCTGCCTCTTCCCTCATTAAACCCCACATAGTTTCCTCATTCTGTTCTTTTCCATATCCACCTGTTTCTCTCCAGACACAAAGTACAGGTTATGGACCCAAAGATAGGTTTTTGTGCTTAAAGGGTGCTTCTCAGAGGGTGTAAATGGGACCAGTTTTAGTAACTGCTGCTGTCAGAGCTTCACCCAGAGCAAAAGAGAAAATATCTCAACTAGGAAATTTATGTTAGGGAGAGTAGAGATGAGAGAGCAGAGCAGAGCATATAAGAAGTAAGACTGTTCTATAGGAAATACACAAGGAAGTTGTGTCAATTACTGAACTCTAAGCAAGTAATTTTGGCTAATGTAAGCTTGTTTATTCATTTAACAAATTTCTACGGCTGTGCAACTCCCTAAAGGCTCTGGATGGTATAGAACAGGGCCCCTCAAACTTGGCAACTTTTAAGACTTGTGGAATTCTGGGAGTTGAAGTCCACAAGTCTCAACCTCTGGTATAGAATATTAAACAGTCAAAAACATAGCCAAGAGAAAAGAGCAATAATCCTCCAGGTCAGGGTTCTCAAGGGAATTTCCAGGACTTCAGTTCCCAGAATTCCAAATCCAGCAGGACCATTGATGAGAATTCTGGAGGCTGAAGTCCACGTTACTGGAAATTCCCAAGGTTGCTCCAGACAGTAATAGAACCATTGCCTTTAACACGGCATTTTTACCCCAATGGGTCTGCTCCATTCCCTAGACCAGGGCACGGGGTCAAAACCAGGTTTTCATGGCTAACTTAAACCAGGTTGAGGTACACTGGCGTGCTTTTGCTTCCTTTGAGGGAAAATTTCCTCATCTGAGGGAAAATGCCTGGATGAAAGAAACTTCATACAAGCATTAATACTATCATCAAAGGCAAAGGAACAGATGCATTTAATTTTATTTTAACTCTCTGATGAAGTTGATATCCTGTGCTGGAACCAGAACATGGAAGGAATTAAAATCCTATGGGAAAGCTTGGATCAGAGTGATATTTTAGGCATTGGTGGGAATCTTGAGTGCTTTTAATAGAATTTTGTTCTACCTTCCTACATTCAGTGTGACTGAACTATTGTGTATACGTATGACTAAAATATTTACTTTTTTTTTTAAAAAAAAAAGCAATTTGGCGCTGCTGTTTGGAAGACAGTTTCCATGGTAGGAAGAATTCGCTAGACTTTTAAGTATCTTGGGCTCACTTGTAGATTATATTCTAAACATAACGAGTCTATTTTTAGCAAAAAGCAAATTCTGTCGTGACAGTTGATATGGAACAGACAGCCACTTTCCCATATTGATAATATTTATTTACTTATGGTTTTGAACAGAATTTAAACATAATGGGGACTGTCTTAAAAAGGCCCCAGAACAGTAACAGGGAAGAAAAATTCCCTTCACCTAATTTGTGCAGCCAATCTAATAACATGTTAATCTGAGAAGTACAGAGATATGTTAGTATATATAATAACAGAATAATATGATTGGAAGGGACCTTAGGAGGTGGGCTAGTCCAACCCCAGTTGTCTCCAGTTGTATTGTGAAAGTGTCTCTCAGGAAATATCTGAGTAAGCACTATGTAGGCTTAGGCATGTAGATGTGCCAAAACTGGAAATAAGGGTTTTAATTATAATTAAAGGTTTAGAAATTGCAGTAAATCCAGTAGGATTGCTTATCTCTTCACCAGTATTGCTACTCTTGGGTAAAGAGTTTTGTCCTCTGTGCTGTATGTATTCCTTAACCTCCCTTTGAATTCTTAATAACAAGGCTTATTCAGAACTGATGAAAACTGTGGTGTAAACCCTAAAATAAGGCATATCACAGTGAATGCAGGTCACCCTTAACTTACAACTAGTTGCTTAGTGACCATTTGAAATTAAAAATGGACCTTCCCGGGGGAGGGGCAGTGCTTACGACCCAAATTGAAAGTTCTGATGCTTACACTTACACAAACACACAGACACACACACACACACACACAGACACACACACACACACACACACACACACACACACACACACACACACAGAGTCACATGACCTTTGAGCATTGGGCAGCCAGCCTAGATATACGGCCATTTTGCAACATCCTGTAGTCAGTCACGTGACTGCATTTTGCAACACTTTTGTCAAAAACCCAGCATTCGCTTCCAGTTTTACGACCCTGGCTTCGGCTTAACAACTACCACCAAAAAGGGTTGTGAAATCGGATAGGACATTGTGACGCCGTGGTTATAAAATGCAGTGCTGCAGGAAAACTCTTACCCACTGCCAGCAGTTCGATCCTGACCGGCTCAAGGTGGACTCAGCCTTCCCTCCTTCCAAGGTGGGTAAAATGAGGACCCAGCGTGTTGAGGGCAAGATGCCGGCTCTAAACCGCTTAGAAAGAGCTGTAAAGTATTGTGAAGTGGTATATAAGTCTTAAAGCGCTATTGCTAGGTCACATAGATGACCCGAGTTATGCTTCTCAGGACTTACCACCATAATGAGCAGGCTCCATTACGGTCGTAACTCAAGGACTCCTCTGCTGTGTAGCTGTACCCAGATTTTGCAGCCTTTGATTCCCAGAAGGAACCTTGAGTTGTATCTTTTGGCAATCAAAATGCTGTCCAACTCAGCTCATCTGTCTAGTGGCAAATCTTTCAGGCAGTTTTGTTCCTTTGAACATGACTTGCCAAACACTGAGCCTGGAATCCATTCAAATGAGACCAGCCACTTCACTGTAATTCTGGCTCCATTTAAAAATAAAAACCCACTCCTTTCTTTCCAGAATTTTATGCCTGACCTCTATTTAAAAAGAAAAAAAAATTCCTTCCCAGAACGAACGCACACATAGGACCAATACTTTAGGCTACGGTCAAAGGTGGGAAGTGATTGTAAAGGCCTTTTTGTTGATAGGCTGCTGTCTCCGCCTGTAATTTAAAGAGAATTAGTAGAGAATGTTACTAATGTTACTGCTAGGTATGAAGAATCCTCAATATAAAATAAAAAAAGCAGAGCTGGAGTAGTCAGAAGAAATCATTGCAAAGAGCCCCCTTGAGGGGACAAAACCAAAATGAGCAATTAGAATTAGAATTCCTTTATTGGCCAAGTGGGATTGGACACACAAGGAATTTTGTCCTGGTGCAAATGCTCTCAGTGTACATTAAAAGAAAAGATACATTCGTCAAGAGTCAAGAAACATAAAGTACAAACACTTAATAATAGTCATAGGGTCCAACAAGTGGAAGGGGATGAGGTGATAGGAGCGATGAGAAGATTAATAGTAATAGTAGTGCAGACTTTGTAAATAGTTGGACAGTGTTGAGAGAATTATTTGTTTAGCAGAGTGATGGCATTCGGGGAAAAACTGTCCTTGTGTCTAGCTGTTCTGGTGTGCTTTATTGTTAACTCCGTTGCATTATTCATGTTCCATTTTTGGTGGATTTACTCCAGAGCACAATAGATAACCGATCCTTAGCCAGGCTGGTATCAGCCCTCTTATTGCTGATGCAGCTGATCCTCAACTTACTGCCACAATTGAGCCTGAACTTTCCATTGTTAAGTGAGACATTCGTTAAGTGAGTTTCCCCCCACTTTTATGACCTAGGTTTCCACGGTTGTTAAGTGAATTGCTGCAGTTGATAAATTAGTAGCGCGGTTGTGAAATGACTCTGGCTTCCCCCATTGACTTTGCTTGTCAGAAGGTCGCCAAAGGGACAAAGCAACGGGTCATAAGCGTGAACCAATTGCCAGGCATCTGAATTTTGATCACGTGATCATGGGGATGCTACAAAGGTGGTAACCGGGAACAACGGTCATAAATCACTTTTCCCAGTGCCGTTGTAACTTTGAACGGTCACTAAATGAACTGTTGTAAGTCGAGGACTACCTGTACAAGTACATTATTTGTCTGTATAAGTAAAGGCTCAGGTCTGAATATCTGAGGCAGTTTTGAAATTGTAACACCACATTAGGCAACTGGTGAAAGACAGAAAGTGAATCTCTGATTTTTGGCCTTGTTGAGAGAATTAGCCAGACCACTAAGGGGTTGTTCTCGACTTATGACCACAACTGAGCCCACTGCTAAGCAAGACAGTTGTTAAGTGAGCTTTGTTCCACTTTACAAGATTTCTGGCCGCAGTTGTTAAGTGAATCACCGCAGCTGTTAAGTTAGTAACGCAATTGTTAAGTGACTGTCTGGCTCCCCTGTGGACTTTGCTTGTCTGAAGGTGCAAATGGTGATCACGTGACCTCAAGGTACTGCAACCATCATAAATACACGCCAGTTGCCCCGCATCTGAATCTCGATCACATGACCATGGGGAAGCTTCAAGAGTCCTGAGGGCAGGACAAGAAGCAATGGGTGGACACTAATCAAGGAGAGAAGCAACCTAGAATTAAGGAGAAATTTCCCGACAGTCAGAACAATTAACCAGTGGAACAACTTGCCTCCAGAAGCTGTGAATGCTCCAACACTGGAGGTGTTTAAGAAGAGATCGGACAACCATTTGTCTGATGTGGTGTAGGGTTTCCTGCCTAAGCAGGGTGGGGTTGGACTAGAAGACCTCCCAGGTCCCTTCCAACTCTGTTATTCTATTCTGTAATAATCACAGTTGTTAACGTGAAAACTAAGTCATAAGCCCCTTTTTTTCAGTGCCATTGTAACTTCGAACAGCCACTAAACAAATGGCTGTAAGTCAAGGACCAGTTGTGAATGGCTGAGATGCCAACATTTTCTTCCAGACACATCCAAATACTGAATTCCCTGTTTCTAGGGGAATCTATGAGCCACGGTGGCACAGTGGTTAGAGTGCAGTACTGCAGGCTACTTCTGCTGCCTGCAGCTTAGCAGTTCGAATCTCACCAGGCTGCAGTTTGATTCAGCCTTTCCCTCCTTCCGAAGTGGATAAAATGGGGACCCAGATCGTTGGGGGCAACAGGCTGACTCTGTAAACTGTTCAGAGAGGGCTGTAAAGCACTGTGAAGCGGTATATAAGTCTAAATGCTATTGCTATCTTTATTTTGGACATCTACCATACCATTGGAGCAGAAATGGCATTTTCCATGCCATGGTTCTTCCCTCCTCCCTATTAACCAGCCCACCTCAGCTGTAACTACCTTTTCTCCTAACTGCCTTCTCCATCATTACATTTCCCGCCTTCCTGGTTCTGTCATTGAGGCTTTCTTTTTCTCTCTCCTTCCCTCTCCCTCCCTCTCTCTCTCTCCCTCTCTGCCATCTTCTCTCCCAGTTGTCTGCTGCCTCCAGCCCATCCACTACTCAGAGTCCACACAGACCTTCAGGAAAGGACCCCTTTGCAGAGGTCTCCCTGCAGGATTTCTTGTAGGATCCTTTAGGTATTGCATGTTCATTTTGGGGAGGGTGGGAGGGCGTTGGCCACCTGGGAACAACCTCTTTCGGCGTCCCAGAGAGCCACTCCCTGCCACAATTGCATCGAAATATCGTTCATGTTGGCGAGGTCTGTGCAGAATTGCACGTTTGAATGCTTTGATTGGATGAGCAAACTTTCCCTGATGGAGCAAAATTTTAGCATCGCCACTAAAACTCTGAAAACAATGTTACGTTGGTTGAAACTAATGAAATACGCACGTTTGTATGCTGGATGTGGAGAGACATCTGAATCAGATCAGCACCTGGTCTCTTGAGGTGCCTCTTTTGCTACGTCTCCAGGTGTGATAAGTGAGCCACGTGTCCCACAGATCTGAATCTCTCCAGTTGTGTGCGTTGAGCTACACGGAGATCGTAAATGGCTGGATTCAAGTATTAATGTCATTCTTCAAGTATTAAATCTTTTTCTTGTGTTATTGGGATCCCAGAAGAACATTTTGGTTTTTTTTGTTTACCCTTCCCTCACAATTTTGGATTTGCTTTGCGTTACATTTTTGGTCTAAAGTCTCTTGACCATCAACCATGGCCTTTGAAAGAAAATTACTATTTTTAAAAATCCAGTTTGTGTTGTAGTTGCCATAAAGCCATTTTACAGTCGACCTCTCTAGTGCTTTGATAAGTTGCCCCATTTTGCCTGCAATTCCATTTTTGCATCTATCAAAGTTGCCACCCGTATTTTAAATCCCATATTGGGCTGAAGCGTGGCATAAATACAGCTGTCACAGCTATGCCACATCCTCCATCTTTGTTGAATGGAAACCATTTGTGTGACTTAGGGCAGTTCTCCCTAATAATTTATCCTTCATTGAAGAGTGATGTTGGAGGGGTAGGATGGCCTAGAGGTGAAGCTCTCGCCTCACAATCAGGGGGCTGTGAATTTGATCCTATGTAGAGGCAGATATTTCTCTTTCTGGGCACAGTGAGAATATATCTGCTGAACAAAACTCCGCCTTGGCAACAGGAAGGGCATCTGGCCCTTAAACACCCTGCTAGCTCCATTCAGTTTCCCGGACTCCACCGCGCAATGGGTTATCAGGTTGTTAAGAGGAAATGGTGATGATTGCAGAGTGATGTTGGCTGCATCAGAGATATTTTGGAGGCTTCCTTTAGGTTTTAAACGTAGCTAGCAAAGGGATGAGATCAGAAGAAATTAAGACAGAGTTGTGTGCTGACATTGTTAAGGTGATCTATGACTTCCTTAGTGCGCTCTGGAACGTTGCTTTCTTGCAGACGTTTCATCAGGCAACTGGGTAGCATCAGTGCAGCCCTGATGATGTTACCAAGTTGGGTAATGAAATGTCTTCCACAAGAAAGCAACCACATTCAGCGGGCACCAAGAACCCCACAGTTCACCCCCAAGCTATGGCTATCCTCTTCCTGTCGACGAGCTAACCTTGATTTCATCTTTTATTTTCTCAGATCCAGTTTATGTAATCATACCAGACGGAGTGGAGCGAGAGAGAGAAAAAATTCCCAGAAAGACACGTGCTCAGTGACCAACCCCTTTTTTTGCAGCTCAGTCCAAAACGGAAGTCTCTCCAGCTCTCCAGTAGAACAGACTCAAATCATGCAAAGCCCACAACAAAGTTGCGAGTCTCTCGGCCAACCTAAGGAAATCTCAGCACCCTGCAAGCGTGGTATAAAGCCAAGAATTGCCACAAATTTGGTGTGGGATCTTTTTTCTATTCCCCCCCCACCCCTTTCCCGCGGTAACTTAACACGTTAGTAACTCCCGTCCCCTATTTTATAACATTGATTGGTAACCCATGAAAGAAGCTACCTATCCCGCTAATCAATGTTCTGGAAAGTGCTCTTGGGAATGAAGAGCTGGACACCTTGGTTTTTCTCCTTAACTTCAGCGGCTTTTCTCTCTAGAGGATCAAATCCTAACTCTCTGATTCTACAGCTTCCTCTCTCCGTTTCATCACCAATGTTAGTCTCCATACTGCAAAGTTTTAACTTAAAAAGGAGAACAAAAAACAAAACGAAACAAAAAAACCCCAACAACCAACCCACCGAATTATATATTCCGTTCGCATAGACATTCCTTTATGTATTATTTGTTTGTATTTATTTATGATTATCCGTTTAAAATAACAAATATATCACAAAGCCTCCTCTACAGAGGAACGAATGCCGATGTATCCTATGAGTCTCCCATTAAGGGGTCCGTCTCCTTTTATTATTATTTTTTTTTATCCACCGGAACAATTTCTTAGACAATTTTCAATCCATACTCCTGCCGTGCAGAATATCGGGCACGTACCAAGGTCTGAAAAAATGCCCCTTGTTGAATACACAACACCCCCCCTCCCCACACCCTCCAAGGAATTAAGAGCGACCGACAGACGAAGCTGCCAGTTCTGCTAAAGATTTGGCGAAAGGGTGGGAGTGTGCGAAACAGCTGGCTGGTGGGAGCATGGTATTTTTTTCAACCAGGCGTCCTCGGTGCTTTGAGAAAGCTTTTCCTTGCTTTGTGCTTGGCATGGCATTTATCTAACACTTGACATAACAGCCTTTTCCAAATGAATGTGAGGAATTGCTTTCACTTTCAGAGACTTTCCTTCTCTGTATAAAAGAAAAACAAAACAAGCAACTATGGACAGTTCTGGTGGTGGGGCGGGGGCGTGGAGAAGACATTCTTTTCTGCGTTGGAATCATGTACCAAGAAAACAGAATGAAAATCTCGGAAGGGAAGTCGTGTCTTTTTGCTATGGGCAACCCATCCATGAAGTTCTCCAGGGGAAGCTCCATCGAATCGTGTTCGGGATGGCTTCCTGGTGCCCTGGATTTCTCAGCGCATAGGAATCCTTTTTGTTCTTTGGTGAATTTGAAAACAGCACTGTGGATCGGTGCTATATGTAAATACATCCTATCGGTTTTAGGTGGCATTTGGGGCCTTAAAAGGAGGATAGTCTGGGGCATGAAAGCAATTCTGTACATGAATTAAGCATATTTGCTGCATTGTCTCTGCAGATTCTATTTTTGTTTAAAATGTTATAAAATGTATGTTAGCAAAAAAGGTGGATTTTCAAATAAAACGCAGCTTCCACAAACTTGTTTGAGTTGCGGTATGAATCTCTGAGGGTGTGAGGTGTTATTTCTGTAGGGATGCAGGGCAAAAATAGCCGCTTTTAATTATTGTATAAATTCAGTAAGCGAGAAGAAAAATTCTCACCAGTTGCTGCAGGTGATATACTGTGTTTGGTTTTTGGACTGAGGTCTTCGTGAATAGACCTAAACTATTGCCAATACTTACAGACAGCTACACTAGACTTCCGTGTCGGAAGCACAAAAGCACTTCTGTTGTGAAAGGATCAAATGGTGAAATCATTGTTCCTCGGGTCACGCCCAGTTGGGGGCTCTTTTTTGTGTCCCCCCCCCCTTAAGTTGCTCACTGAAGTGGTACCCATCTATCCGTGGCCTGCTTTTGAATAGCTGGGTTGTCAGGAGCTGGAGTTAGTGACAGGAGCTTGCCCTACTGCACGGCAGCAACCAGGTCTCAAACACAAGCCTGCCGATTGTCAACCAGACCAGGTGTTCTCTTTAGAAATAGCTACGTTCTGCTTTGAACGCTATTCTGTTACCTTCAAATATGATTGATTTTGCCTGATCTTTCTAAGCTTTGATTTAGTCTTGAGAGTGGAGGGATTCCCACTTGCATGTAGGTGCCAGATTCAAATATGGTTTATATTGGTGGTGTGGTCTGCCAACAGCCAGCAGAGCTGGCAGCAGACTCAGATAGTGAGGTTGGGGAGGAACACGGGCCAGTCCTGGAGTCTGGGGAAGGCCCCGATGAGTGCTCTGCATCGGAGGCAGAGATGGGGCCAGGGCCATCTGATGGTTATCAGCTGCCTTCAGAGTTGGACATCAGTGAGGCAGAAGAACAGCTGGAGCCTGTTCCCAGTGTGCACACGTGCAGAGCTGCCAGAAGAAGGGAACAGCTAAGGAACAAGGGTCAACTCGGGAGTAAAGCCACAAGTGGACGGTGAACGGCCCCTCCCATAGGGAATAAATAGGAGCAAAAGGGGGGGTGGGGTTTTGCAGGAGACAATTAGTTCAATTCATTAGGGTGAACTGTTCCTGACTTCTTGCCAAATCTTGTCTGCTACAGAGTGGCGTTTGGAAGATATCGGCCTGGCAGCTCTCCAAACCCGATAAAGGTCTGTAATTGTGAAATCTCTTGAAAGACTTGGCCAGGACTTTGCTGGAGAGGAATTCGCTGTAAACTAAATAAAATGGGTTTTATCGGAATGAGGAGTCAGTTTCGTGCTTTTGGGGGAAGCCTAGATCAGAACAATTGGATGAGAGAAACATCAAGAAGCCCCAGATCTGGGAAATAACCAACTACAAAGACAATTACATGGATATCTGTCTCTGGGAATTGAACTCAATAGGAGTCCCAAAGGGTGCTTTTTCCAAAAGGCACCTGGACTTTCTTGGTTTTTTTCCTTGAAAACATTTCACTTCACATCCAAGAAGCTTCTTCAGTTTCCAAGGGGAAAAAAAAAAAAAAGGAAAGTCCACCTGCCTTTTGGAAAAGCACCTGTGGGACAATATGACCTGGATGATTGAGAATCTCCATAGACAAAGAAGATTTTTCCCAATTAATATGGTACAATTCTTGCTTGGTTTTGCCTTGATTTAATAATTGATCCCATTTAAGTTTCAGAAAAACATCTGATAATGATGGATACAATTTCCATTTGGACAACATTCTGAAATGACAGGTTTTATTGCATCCGAAATAATCTTGACGAGGCAGTTCAATTAATAATATGATATCTGGGAGTTTATGCTGTTTGTGTTAACATTGGTATGCCTATCCTGTCAATGTGCACAGTTTGTGTTGTGTAATCCGCAAACAAACTGAAGCAAGTGTTTCATTCTACCTGTCTATTTTGAGCAAATTAAGGCGTGCAAATTTTTATACTAGAGAAATACTAATAGTCCTCGACTTGTGACTACAATGGACCCCAACATTTATGTTGCTAGTTGAGACAGGTGAGTCTTGCCCACTTTATGATTTTTCTTGCAACAGTTCTTCAGTGAATCCCTGCAGTCGATAAGTTAGTAACCTGGTTGCAAAAGGTGATTATATAACCCAGGGACTCTGCAATTGTCATAACTATGAGTCAGTTTGCCAAGGGGCTGAATTTTGATCATGTGACCATGGGGATGCTATGGGTCATAAGTCACATTTTCCCAGTGCTGTTGTAACTTCAAACGGTCACTAAATGGAATGGTTGCAGGTTGAAGATTACTCTGTACTTGGGAGTTGCGAATTCAGAGTCCAGTTCATTTAATGGAAAACTTATAAAATGTGCTTAGTACTTAGAGCGTCGATGGTGCAGTGGTTAGAGTGCAGTACTGCAGGCTACTTCTGCTGACTGCCGGCTGACTGCAATTTGGCAGGTTGAATCCCACCAGGCTGAAGGTTGACTCAGCCTTCCATACTTCCAAAGTGGGTAAAATGACCCAGATTGTTGGGGACAAGAGGCTGAATCTGTAAACTGCTTAGAGAGGGCTGGAAAGCACCATAAAGTGGTATATAAGTCTAAGTGTTATTGCTATTAGTACTTTTAGTGACTCTGTTGAGTGTTGTGACTATCAAATCAGTTTTGGTCTCTCCCTATTTTTTTGATGGAAATTATTTTCCGTCAGAAAATATTTAAAAGCATACCAGTTCCTTTTTCCAGAGAATATTTATTTATGCAAGTATGTATGCCAAGCACAGCTAGAACTGGTTTATTTGTTGATTAAAAACTATCAAAAAGTAGGAACATGGGACACAACTGCAAGTAAAAAAAAATCCAGCCCTTTTATTTCATCATCTAGAAAAATGGCA